ATCATTAAAAAAACAAATTATTTTTTGGTGGTGCTAAAGAAAGTACATGATGAAGAGCATCATTAATACAGGAAAAGGCATCTATTATTGTTATTTGTCTTCTCCTCACTTTTTATCACGTTTTTATTAGATATACTGTATTGTTTTCCTGTGCTTTGTCATGGTTATCTCTCTGTCTGACTCACTCGATGTTTGGCACCCCAATTTCTAACCTCACTTTTCCGAAATCTATTTTTCATCCTCTCTCTCTCTCTCTCTCTCTCTCTCTCTCTCTCTCTCTCACTCTCTCTCTCTCACACAAACACACAGTCATGGCTTTGTTCCCTCCCTGTTTTTTGGCTCTGTCTTAGCCAGAGGGACAGTGATAGTGACAGTTTCCATTAGGTTTAATGAGGCCTGGCCGGTCAGGCAGAAAAACAGGCTGACAGGTTAACATGCTGTGGCCCTGGTGGTTTGGCTTAGTTCCTAACACCCCCTCCATCCTTCCCCCCTCTTCTTGTACTCCTCATCAATGAGGGGACAACAGTCTGAACTGAGGTTAGATTTGTGTCTGACACTAGAAACACGAGGTCAGGTCTTGTTTGAAGCAGGGAGAGACAGGTTAGCCTCGGAGTCAGAGTGTAATGAGGCGCCTAATGTGCTTATGTGAATGCGAATGAGAGGATTATAAGTAAGAGCTCTTTTGACATGAAAATGTTCTTATTTTTGGCGATAAATCCTCACCATTATGCATTCTTCATGCTGTGATGCACTTGACAGACACGGTTGGTGTGATCATGACTGAGCAGCAGAAGGTCTTTGTGTCAGAGTGCCACCCTGTGGAGTGGAGGCTAAAGGGAAATAACACTGTAGAGACCCTGTCCAGAACTAATTTCAAAAAAGATGTTTATGTATTTTATTTTATCTTGATAAAAAAAATACTGTATCAACCAACTAGTTTAGGTAATTTTTCAGGCATTTTGGTGTGGTTAAATAGGATAGAGTAACAAGATGTAGACCAGAAGTCAAGATCAAGGGTTTAGCTACTTCCATTGTAGCCATTTTACATGAAAGATGTACTTTGACAAAAGAATAGCCCCTGGGTGGTCGTCATTGTGCCTGAAACTGAGAATTTTACAACTAAACTTGATACAAAAAAAAATGTACATTTTAGTGCTTTCTTTCTTAAAGAAAATATTACAAGTTTGCATTGCTAGGTTTACCAGCTGAAGCAAACCAGTGTCCCAGACAAGTAGCCCAGTCTCCTCAAGGGGCTAAACATTATGGAATATTTATCAAATATAATATATATCCACAAACCGTAATACTATACATGATTTAATTTTTAATGATTTTAAATTAAAAACATTATTTCTTGTTGCTTTATTTATTTATCAAAATACCTTGTTATACCAGGAGGAGTGATAATCATTTCCCTTTAGGCCTGCTTGATTCATTCTTGTGTCTACTCTTAATTTGGTTTATTTTCACTTTATTTTGGGGGGAGGGGTGAGTTTCTGATTTATACATATGCATCGCCATCTATCTACTGATGCTCCCCCAGATCAACGCACTCTGTGTTGCTTCTCGGATAATTTTCTCCAGGCTTTGTTCTGCTCAAAATGACTATCCATTTCTTATTCAGCATACAAACCTTTCAGGGAAACATAAATTATGAGACTGCCACTTTATTTCCTCTGCAGCTGCAGCTGCATTTTATGCCTCATATGTCTGCATCAACACTACAAAGCCCATTTATTGTTGCCTCCATTTGTTTTACCAAGTGAGAAATGTGATTTGAGTTCCCTCGCAGGGGTTGTTTGAATCCTCTCAGGATAATGGCTGTGATAAAGAATCTGAACACACCCTGGGACCACTTTAAGGGGGCTAACTTGTGCAGCAGTAATTGTGCTGCAAAAATCTATTTTGTGTGTGTGTGTGGACCAAAGGATTTCTGCACAGAGTTTGTTGTACTTGAAATACCTGCTGCTGTTGCACTGCTACTGCAAACCATCCACAAATTTAACAATATTTCATTGTCAGAGAGGAAATCCACAACCGTGTCTTATCCTCTGTTGCACACTCTGACAGGGATCCTCCAGGCCCTGAGCAGCCATGTCAAAAAGCAAGGGCAGACAACACATTCACACTCTCATGTCCGGCTGGAGCTTCAAAACTGCAGAAAAAGTTGAGCATCGTTCAGCTTTTCCCTCTGGTCTCCTCTCTTTTTCATAAACATAGTCACGTTGTTCTTACACCAAAATGAGCAAGATAAACAAAAACAATCTAGAGAAAGATGAGTGACAAACATGTCAAATTCCCATGAGAAATATTTATATACAGTCTGTATAGTTTTTGGTAACTGGTAATTTTTAGTACTTAGCATCAGAAAGCTCAAGTCTAATTAGGTGGCTGTAGGTTTCTCTCAGGAGTATCCTAAATGGCAGAAAAGACCAAAAGTAAAGGTTATGAATGATCAAGTTTCCCAGTCTCCTGTTCAAGCAGTTCACTTTTGAAGACTTAATCCATTGAACAGTCTGTCATTATCAGTTGTTTGTTAAAACTCACTGAGATTCACTTCACTGTCAGACACCATCAGAAGCTTGATTGGTACAGTCAGTAATTTGGACTCCTGTCCTCGGAGCTGTCAGCTGCTTCTTTTGAACAAACAGTCACAGACAGACTGTCATCTGTTCTCACAAATTTGGCACTTTTACTGCCAAATGATGTCAGAGCAGACTCTATCTCCGAGAAACTAAACTGACAGCTCGGTGTTTGTCCACTCTGTCCTTTCCCTCTTACTTCCTTTTTTCCTTCCTCCCCCTCACCCTCTCACCTTAAGCAGACCATTCATTGCTATATCATGTTCATCTCCAGTCTGAGAGCAGATTAAACTCCAGAGGGGTGATCTAGGTCAGCAGTCCCCAACCCCTAGACTGGTACTTGTCCGGTAATGACACGTACCAGTCAACGCCAATAAAACCATGTTATGGATTTATCTATTCATCACTGTCTGTTACCTTATTTGCAGTGGGTCTATTAGAAAAACAGAGAAAATGATTAAAGGAAAACTTTCCAAAAACCTATCCAGAGCATGTTTCCTCTGTGTGCAGATGTGACATCATTACGCTGTTTGTACACCTTGTTATGTTACCGGAGGAGAAGACACGGCACCTACGATTGTGTTTTATGCCAGAGTGTTGATACGGAAACCTCCTGTTCTGGCAACAAATAAACCAAAGGCTAAAGAGTGGAGATCTTGTCAGGTTAGAGCGTCATGACCGGAATAAGTGTTTATATGGACGCCTTTCGGAAAATCAATCAGCATAAACCAACCCTCTCGATTGGAATACGATTTCTTTCAGATTGAGCCGAATTGGATCAGAATCTTCCAATTGACATGTTTACAATTCATGTTTACATTTGTTCCGACTGGGCATGTATTATGATCATTTGTGCCCACGTAAACCCAGCTATTGTTACTCAAAGCAGAATAACAGAGAATCAAACACAGGTCTGACACAGACAGATTTAGCTGATAGATGAAAAGATACAAATCCAAGGACCACACAGTTTATCAATGCATCTGTGCAACTTTCATAAGAGATGCATTGTATTTATGAATAAATATAGCAATGAGATATTATACCGTCTTTGGTGGCAGAAAAACACATTTAAAAAGTATTGCATGTGAGTTCTTTGCTCTTTTATGCTCTTAAGTGTCTATTTTCAGGAATGAGCCATCTATACTGTAATAAAAGGACAACAAGAGGGCTAGAGAGGACTAGAGTGAGGCATGAGGTACTCAAAGCAGGGTCATTTTCTACGAAATCTGCCCACCATTTATGAAGACAAGCCATTATCCACTGAGGGTTGAGAATTACTGAAATGCATGTCTCATTCATCTGCCCTACGCAAGGTAGCACTTCAAAAACAATGTTAAAAAAAACACACAAACACACACTGTGAGTTTACAAAAATGAACTCTTGCTCCGTGTTACAAACATATCATTGCTGCTAAGCTTGATAAAGCAGCAAGAAAACCCTGTCTGCTCACTCACACAGCAGATACAAAGAAGAGAAACAGCAAGAGAGAGAGAGGGGTGAATGAAAGGTCTTTTGTTCATGGACTGTATATAGACCCATAGACTGTATATAGAATGGATGCCGTCTGCCTCCTCACTGGGTAAAGCCACCTTGAGAACAGCACCCTCTGGTGACAGGCAGTAGTATAGGTCATAAATCCTGCCTCCTCTAGCAATCTCCATGGCGCTGTGGACAAACTTTAGAGATGAATTAAACAGAATATAAATTTTTCTCCCCCCTGCTTGCAATGTTGACATGTAGTTACTGTAAGACTGGTTTGTGCTCAAGACCTCTTTCTTCTGTACAGCTCCATTTTTAAAAGTTATTATGGGGTTTTTATGGGATTGACACTTGATACAGCCTATGGGCGTACGAAGACTGTGTAGCTCACCATAGGGATATGCTGTTCAAGCCAAGTGTCATCACAGCGACTCTCCCGCCGGATGTGTACACCGCTACTGCGCAATGTTGGTTTTTGGCTTCAAATCCGTATACTGGCAGAACCAAGTTATCCATAGTATATACAGCCTATGGTACAACCTGAGTACAAGGGTGAGGGGTATGAATGATGCATACGGTAAAAAACAACAACCTGTAACGACTACTGTACTTCAGTGTAGATAAAAGTGTGGCTGTGTAACTACAGATGGACTACTGTTAGTTCATGAAGGGAAGGAGAAGAGAAGTAATTTCTGGAAACACAGAGGTTTGTTCAGCTTCAATCCAGGCCCCAGACACTGTTCAACACTGATCCTGATATTTATAACTCCTTTAGCAAACAGCTCCTTCTGTCCTCCTGCTTAACTATTCATTCACCAGCTCAGACTGGCTGTAGGCTCACAGGGCTCTGTTCGCTCTGTGTAGCCCTGGAGCTATTTGAGCAGGGTTTATTTTGCTCCTGCTACCCCTCAGTTTTTCAGGTTTATATCATTCATCATAAGTTTTTTTTTTTTCCTCCATCACCTTTACGCTCTCTCTCATAATATCAGACCCACTCCCTTTCAGGATCTTTAACTGGATATCAGCTTTTGACAGAAGTGTATTGAATCAACTCAGAACATATTTATTGACTTGTCAATCCACAGAACATTGATTGGGACGTATTGTAATGACCTGAAGTTGTTTTCTAGTGACCTTGTCCAACTTCTCCAAAATGAGGATCTGTGATTGGGCTGCATTCGTCATGTTTTAAGGATGGAATAAATCTGTTTTGGTTTTGATTGATGGAGACAGTCATCGGTTATGCAAATTTTTATTGGCTCATTCCTTACATGATTATAAGCAAAATGCCAAGCTATAGCTGAGCTGAGTTAAAAGTGCTGATACATTTAAATATTTGATGGATGGGATATTGATCAGAACTTATCAAGGGCTTATTAAAATCAGCCTTAAAACTCTTGGACATTCTGGCTCTCAAGCATTTGATTGAAAGAGAAAGACGTTGACAGAAACAAAATTACAGTAAATCTCTTTTAAAGTTTGCAATGGCATGGCCAACATCCAAGACACAACAGATCTAGATGCACAAGGTGTAAGTTGTTGACACGCGCCTAAGACAGATGGGGGGAAAAGCAACCATGTGTTTACACGAGAGGACTTCATATATAAGGAGCGTCACTGCTGTATGACGCAGGTGGCTGATTCTGCCTTGAGAACACTTAGTATGCTAATGAGAAAACCACAGTGCACAGCCTATTAGTGCTCTGACAGAACATTTCCCAAATACAGTTCCTGACAGCGTGACGGCGTGACTGATGGCGGTCTGCTTGGATACAGTTAGCCGGCCTTAATGTCGTGATAACACAGAGTGTAAGTTACAGATATGAGAAGCATTCTCTCTTTCACTTATCTGTGTCTCACGCCAGTAGAGGACAAACTCTGACTAATCCTGCTGTCAGTGTTTCTTCACTTTGTCACTAACTTCTAAAAAATTAGGACAGAAAAATCTGCTTCTGGGCAAACTTTGAATTTGGAAAGGGGAGTCAGAAGCTAATATTGCACTATCATCTAAAGACCCAGATTATAATATTCTTAGCTCAGATGATTGCATTTGGGATAAACAATAAAGAGCTGTGGGGGCCACTCTGACTGTCTCTTCTAATGAGCAAACAGAGAGGAACCACACAGCAAGAGACAGATGAGAAATTCAGCTCAATCTCAGTTAGCACAGTTCGTTGTGTGTTTCTTGTCTAGCAGACAGATATTGTATGAGTGTGTGTATCTCTGAAGGAGTGTAAATCTGAAGTGATCACAGAGAGATGAGAGCTTTATTGAACAAAGGTTTCTGTCTTTCTGCACACAGACAAACTCTGATGAATGTCAGCGATGATCAGCGTCTACCTGAAAGTCCTGCTGCAAAGGTGAAGATCAATAATAAACTCTAACACACACTTTCATCAGAGTATCTAACTTTACTGCCGTTACAGCAGGTTTACTCCTCAGAGGTTGAGTGTCATTAATCAATATCAAAACAACAGCATAAATGCTAATCTACATCAATATCGCTCAGGAAGGAGTTTTGGTTCTTTTCAAAGAAAATCTCAGTGTTTTTCAGATCATACTGAACTGTTCCTATACCTCTACGTGACCTATACAGTAGGTCTTTATTTGTCAAAATTGAAGTCCAGTCGACTCTTAGCATACACTGAAGGAAATAATGTTCTCCACAGTTCAGATCAGACACTCTTATGTTTGTCGTAGACATTCAAGTAGGTTTATTAAAAAAAAGAAAATTTCCTTTGAATAATCTTTCACTTGTGTGATTGCAGCCTGGTTACCAATCTTTTGGTTGTGACAATCTTTCTCATCCATCAGTCCGATGGTCTTTCACTGTCAGGATAGTGTTTGTAACCTTGTTAAAATGTTAGATTCACTTTTTGTCTTAGTGATGGTAAATGACATGATTATCTTTAGTTTGCAGCTAAGTCATGTTGCTGTTTCTTGTCTGTGTTTTTAGATATTTTTCAATTTTAGATATTTTAAATGTAACCTTTAGGACATCCGATTAAAAATAATAAAACAATTTAAAAAAATAATAAAAACTCATAAATTCAGTGATTGTTTTGAGCACATATTTGCACTCACCGGTCTCACCTTTGCAGCTTAACAACAGGTTCTCCTTTCATTTTGTAGAACATTATTTATTGCCGTTATCATAATACAATTTAACCTGTTGCTGATGTATTTATTTTTTGGCCTGTCTAAACCCAAACTTAAGTTCAATGCTCCATAGTGTTACTACAAGAAACTCGTTCAACAGAGTCTGAACATAAAAAAACTGAAAAAGGGAAAAGGTAAACCAAATATTCTATGCATATATGGTCAGAAGAAGATTTAGATCAGAAAGAAAGAAAAGAGAGGAAAGGAAGCTAGGAAACAATGAAAACACAAACAAAAGTAAAGCTCAAGGTAGGAACAGAAAGGGTCAGGATAAGCTGAAAAATCTTGTGTTTCAGTCAGCTGCAAAGAAAAAGAAAACAACTACTTGGATGATCCTGCTGTTTGACATGCAGATGTTTAAGCATTAAATCCTTCATCTCACAATCTGATATGAAACTAATCACAGCAACATTGAAATTCATTCCTACATCCACAAAGAGCCACTGTGCAGGCAAGAAAGCAATTTATTTTCCCCCCTTCAGTATAAAGCCGAGACTGTCGAGGTGCAAATGATTTCTCAGCCGATGCAGAGACAACCAAAGCAGAAAAATAAGTGAATGCAATATACAATCCTCCAAACTGGTGTTTGTCACAGTCAGAAGTGAATGCAACACCTTTCCCAGCCACCACACAGAAACACTCTACTGTCGTGGAACAATTCATACCTGAGACTCCAGAAGGGGCCCACAGAGAAAGTAGACGGTCCCTGAAATGGACTTAGAATAAGTTTCAAGTCCTTTTAAACATTTGTTTGTTTTTGTTTATTTCATTGTCACACAATTAACTCGAGTCTGGGGGAGTCCTAATCAAGCACGAGGAAGGTGTGTTTGTGAAAATATCAAAGTTTCTCTTTGAACATGTATTTGGCTCAGTCTACATCTAAAGCTCCCTGCATTGTTGCATTCTCACTTTAAAGTCCGACCGTACTTCAGAGCTCAGATTGAAGGATCCTCTGAGGTAGAAAAGTGGAAGAGAGAGGATGGGTGTGGGTAAAAACAGCTTGATCAGCAGTTCTGGCTCAGGCAGAAACAGCTGGTCTGAATTATACTTAAAGGGTCAAAGAGGTCAGCCAAGTTTCTACATGTCTTATGAATTATAACTGCTGTGTGCGCCGTTTTTCAGTGCGATTTACATACTACAGGATACTCTCACAGGAGAGAGTAACTGCTTTGACATGAGTGGACAGAATTAAAAGTTCAGGATTAAGAGGAAAAAGTTTCTTGGGATTACACATTTCTACAACAGAGAAAAGCGACAACACTACAGATAGATCTGCCGTATCGTTTTATAAGACTCTTGAGGTTTCTCCATTTGTCAGTCCTGCTGTTGTGTGTGAAAGCACAAACACAATAAGGTGAAAGAATTCACCCAAAGAACATCATACGCACTCTTTTGATTCTCAAAACTATACCGCAAGCACAAAGCCTGTCATAACAAAGCGCCTCTGAGTGAAAAGAAGCAGCAAAATAACAAAAAAAAAAGAGATTCTTTTGCTGGAAACAGCATGAAAGTGTCATTCGGTCATGTTTTCTCCTTTTACCTCTGAATACCTCGATTGATATCTGACTCTGAGAAAGATAAAGAGAGAAAAGTCTGCTGTCTGTTTAATGACAGCAGACCATAAATATGATGTTTGTGACTCTGCTTAACAAAAGAAGGAAGATTGAAGAGACGTTCCTGTCATTCCATGAGAGATGTGTTAAAAGATGTACAAGAATTTCATGGCCAACATCTAACAAGTGAAGACAAAGAAAGATGAAAAAACAATAAAAAACATTTATGTGAGGCAAAACATGAACTAATTTACTTCTACCTTTAACGCCCAAATACAGCTGTATTGATCATCCGTAATCCTCTTTCCCTCCAGCTGTGCGGCTCATGTCTCGCCAACAGGAACATGTTTGATTTTATTGGCTCTGAGGAACATTAATGAAAATTGGTTAATGTCTCCACTGAATCAAACCTGGAGTAAAAAGGGAGCTCAAACTGCTGCTTTCTACGAGGTACTTGTCGAGACCACTGCACATTTACAGTGTGTGTAATGAGATCATTTAGCCTGGTGTAATTGGGGATCATTAGAATATTATGATGGATTAATAAGGAGCTGAACAGATCGTTTATGATCATGTGTTGTGTGTGATGTGAATCCTCTGGGGCTTCTTCCGTAATGAGTTTCGCCATTCTGAATTCATGTCGCTTCTTCCCAGCAATGCTAATGAGATCAGACTGAAACAAGCAGAACTCACCCCATCACCTACCCCATCAGTGAAGAGCAGACCTGAAATCAGCTGAATGAGATCTGATGATGGTTGTTTAAGGTCAGCAGTGCTATCAAAGACCCTGTAAGACCACCACAGTGTAACAAAAGATACTGACAACAACAAACAGATAAAACATCCACAGGAGTTTTCTTAGAAAGTACAGCCTGCTCTGTCTCTTCCTGTGAAGGTGGTCAATATCTAATGTCCAGTTCAGTTTGAGGTCCAGCCACAGTCTCTGACAGCTTGACTTTGTCAGATTTTGAAAATGTCTTTTACTTGAAGCTCTTGCAGGCAACTTCTCGATTATGTGAAGTTTGGCACCCCCTTGTGGTCAAAGCGGTCTTTGCTTATTTTGTCTGCTGCATGATTTATTATAACAAATCTCATCCTGTTTACTTTTGACAGTCAAATGTATCACTCATTTTGGATATTTAAGGTGGACATTGTAGTCTTGTTTCTGATGGTCATATTTGCCTTTGTTTGTGATTAAAATGCACCATCATGAATTTCAGTACATTTCATAAGTATAAAAAAACTCCTCATAGGAGCTTTAAGTTAGGATCAGACACAAAAAGGACTGTGGGAAAGGATTTGTGTAACTTTTCCTTTTAAATATCTTCAATTCAACTGAAAGGATCAAAACTACAAAGATATTTCTGCTGCCTTTGAGATGGACCAGAATAACTTACCTATTTACATCTCACCCATGAGACATCTTCAGAGTATGATAGTAAAGACATTGCAGGATCAGGTGAATTTACAGTGAAATCTGACTCAAAAATATGTTTCATGTCTGTGGAAATAGAAATCCTCCAGTGAGTGTAATCTTTAGAAATCAAGCCACGAAGAAATAGTTCATTACCTGTGGCCATCATCACCTTTAGACTTTAATCCACTTGACCGCCCTGGATTGTCAGCTTTTTGTCATGAGCTGCTTAAACAATTAATAACACAATCATTCTTTGTCTTCTGTCACCGTATTGATCTGAGTGAGCTGTCAGGGTGTTAGTAGAGCTCTCCAGAGGACTCTGCTGCTCATCCTCTTATCCCGGACAATAAGATCAACACAGTGTGACTGATCCTCCCTCAAAGTGAAAACTCTCCACCAGAAATGACTCTTTTTCCTTTTTGCGTTACTCACTCACATGGCATGGGATTAGATTAAGTTGTCTATGTCATTATTTCCCTCTCTGTTTGATCGTACAAAGGGCTTTCTCCTCCTCTACCATCTTTGAAACATCAGCGTTAAGGAGGACTTGTTGTACATTTGCCACTTTACTACCATGCTTCTTATTTTGCTTGTCTTAATCTTCTGCTCTTTATGGGACTTTGATTGATGTTTTTGCGAACATCTATATAGAGAAGATAATAGCAGCAAGTTCGTCTACGTCTGCCCACTCTGTACCTCTGATTGTTGTGACTTGCCCTTAACATTGCCTGTGGCATCAACCATGACTGAGTCATAAGTCCTCAGGCCACAGGCATCACTGTTTGATCTTTACTGATTAAAGTCCGAGTGAAATCTTGACAGCAGTTTGAAAGTGATTTCTATAAATTACCTCTTTGTGAAACAGTTTGGATTCAGTCAAAGATCTTTCACCAAGAGACTACACAACATTTGTTGTGAATTGGTGTCATATAAATAAGGTTTAACTGACTTACTGATTGATTAATAGGATTAACTTTAATGATTTGAACTGTATTTATAGTTTGTTAACTTAGCATTGAGGCCTCCGCTAAAGAGCACCTGTCTCATTCTGTTTCCATAGGGGTCGTGTGCTGAAGCAGTGGCTCTCAACTGGTCTCACTGTGGGACCCACCTTTTATCCATGCTCCTTAAGTTGCGACCCACTTTTATAAAATTCAAACCAAGCGAATTTATTTTTTATAGAAAAAAACTTTTAAGACTCAAATCTTTGACATAAATACACCCATTTTATTGAGTAGAGTGCATTTCAGAGCACATGAACTGAGGACGACGACAACTAAAGTTGCTTATACAGAAGATATCAAACTGCACAAAATGGAGATGAGTAAAATGAAAAATTTTACTGATGTGCATCTCTGCGTCCAATGCATATTCAGAGGAACCTGAAGAGGACCGTGCAACAGCATGGACAAAAGTGAATAAATATCAAATTTCATGAAATAAAGACCAAGAAAAAAACATGTATTTTTACTGCATTCAGGCCACATTAATTAGAAACCGGGGACCACGACATAAAACGTGCCTTTCAAAATAAGCTTTTCTTCAAAATAAAAAACATGTCAAACATCAGATGTGCATTAAATATTTACATTTTTGACCAGCTGTTTGCGACCCATCCAGAAAGTGTCTGCGACCCACTTTTGGGTCAGGACCCACTAGTTGAGAACCACTGTGCTAAAGGACCGTTCTCAAACCATCATGAGTGGACACAATTCAGGGTCTCAGCACCGGTTCACTAGGATCGCCAAGTACTTCAACGCTTTCACAATAACCAGAAGTGGGAATTGTGTCTCGCTTACATACACCAACAAAGCAACCATTGCTCTTTTTTTCAAATTGAAACCCAAGAAACAGGTGGCTGTCATAGAAAAATGATCATGCTTCAGTTTTGGCCATGTCTAACAGCTGGTAGCGGTGAAAGCAGCTGGATATTCTTGTAATTAAAAAATTGGTTTGCTTGTAATAAAAAAAAAAACGGTATATTATTTTTACAGAGCAGAGTGGTTTAAAGGAGAGGAGAAAGTGAGAAGACATGGTGAGTAATTTCAAAAGAAAAACAGAACATGGCAATGCAGTACCTGACGTGATGCTGGGGGCAGTCAGGCAGGTGACCCTCACTAATAAATCAATCTGGAGCACAATAAAGGACTTTAATGTCAACTACCACACCTTAGCTTGGTACTGCAAAACATTCACCCCAGCTGAAACACAGAGTCAGACAGCTCTCCAAAGTCCAGAGCATATTGCATTAACTTAATTAACTTTGCACCGACACAAGATATGAAAATGACATGAATACGAAAGATATACCTGAGACTTTTGTCTTTCATCTGGTACACATTTTGTTTATATATGATGTACTGATTCCAAGAAATACAAGAGTGTAAAACGTGTGACAACAAGCCCTGGTCTCCCCTACTACAGAATGAAATTCAAGAACTTGTAATATCTGTTTTGAACTGTGGGAGGTAGTAATGCATCCTAAAGGGTAAAGTCTGCCCAGAACTACACGAAGAAGAACTTCAGGGCTATTTTAAACCCTGCGTTCAGTCTTACAGGTGCCATAGCCAAAAGTATGTTAACTACAAACAAATCCCAGTTTTTCAAATACACAAAAGCACTTTATCATAACCATTTCCCTATCCCAAATTTTAACTTCTGCCAAAATCATTTCTCTTACTGAATCTGTTGACAGACTCGATGTCAGTTTTTTCCTGACAGGTCCTCCTGAGGGTGTAATAAGAATCTGTTTTTGACTCATATTCTTGGTGTCAGTCTCAGACAGGCAGGCGGAGGAGAAAACGTGGACAAACAACTTTACCTTGTGTGCCTAATGTTTAATTTAACCGTGTTTGACTTAAAGTTGGTGTTAGGTTAATCTGATAAGTAAGTCTACGAGATACAGCCATAAAATGACGGATCAGTCCTCACTGTTACTACGTAAACAGTTAGCAGGTGAGTAGGCTAACTCGCTACTTTAGTTTATTCTGTTCTGTATTGATTAACACACGATTACAGCTGTGGTTTGTTTGACTGTTGTGTTATTTTGATAGCTTATTATCGATGTTCAGAAACAGATCGTGACAATGAAATGGGCTAAAGTGTACGTGAATAGCCAGTATCAGACAGCTGTCGGTGAGGCTATGACTAACACTGACTGGTGTTGCTCAATTACCAGGGAAGACATTTCTAAAGTATTACACACACACACCAGCAGTCTGTGTGGTGACTCTGAAACGTGTTTGTGATTTGTAAATCTGTCTAGTTAATATATAAGCATCACTGAAATGTACACTGAGTAATATGTTGATAAAATCTGATTTTAATGGTCTACAAACCATATAAACCCTTACTTCCTTGTAAAAAGCACAATACTGGAAATGATTAATGTATGGAAATGTGTGCTCATTGTCAATCTGATGGGGTGGGAGAAAAAATCCATACAGAATAGTATCGAGTAGGCCTGGGCTATTTGGCAAAAAAAATGATCACGATATCTTTCGTCATATCGTCCGAACTCGATTATAATTACGATTTTTTTTTAAAACCTGCCCGTTTTGAAGCATCTGTACTAAAAACTAAAGAAACGAGAGATTAGTTCAACATTTTAGTAACGTACAAAGTCAATAACAAAGCAAAGTGAATAAGATATACTTAAAAAATATATATTTATTTAAAATATTTTTATAATATTTTAACTTAACAGTACAAAAAATGTAGATAAATACTAAATAATACAGTGTATTAGTTTACAGTCCTGAGCGTTATTGGAGGTATGCAAGACCCAAAAAACAAATCGCCCCCTCAGAGATAATGAAGACGTCTTAAAATGTCAACATTAGATGATGTAAACGGTGGAAACCACTGATTTTCTCCCAATTCGATTCTTCTACATTTTTTTTGGATGCCTATTTGATTTAAATTGCGACTCCATGATATTGTCGATTTTCTCGATATTCAGTCTGCATTTTTAACACCAGTGAAACAGTTGAAACAATTACTACTTTGAGTGGGGTTACAATGAGATAGATTGGCTATTTTGTTGGATATACTCCCTAATGTTGATTATGTTCTGTATTTGAATTAAAAATGAGTGTCAAAGTCTGATTAATGGCAACTTTTAATTTCAGAGCTCAACAAGAACCCAGTGGAAGGTTTTTCTGCAGGTCTTGTAGATGATGATGATATCTATCAGTGGGAGGTCGTCGTCATCGGGCCCCAAGATACATTATTGTGAGTAAGACTATTTCACGGTGAACTGAGTTAGTGGTTAGCTTTTTGCCTACACCCCCTGCGTTTCATCTTCATCATCTCCTTTTTCATTCATAGTGAGGGAGGATTCTTCAAGGCGGCTTTGACCTTCCCTCGTGACTATCCTCTGAGGCCACCCAAAATGAAGTTTATCACAGAAATCTGGCATCCCAATGGTAAAAACTAACTTTAAATTCCACCATAATTCATCAGTGTAGAAGTGAATATTCATGAGTTGTTTTCTCTCTCTTTTGCCAGTGGCAAAAAACGGTGATGTCTGCATCTCCATCCTGCATGAGCCTGGAGAGGACAAGTATGGTTATGAGAAGCCAGAGGAGCGCTGGCTGCCCATCCACACAGTGGAGACCATCATGATCAGTGTCATCTCCATGTTGGCAGACCCGAACGGAGACTCTCCTGCAAATGTGGATGCAGCTGTAAGTGTCCACTGTCTCATTTAGCTGCTGTCTAATTTGGATGCATTTTCGCAACTGATGTTGAGGTCTCAGAATTATCCTTAATATTGGTACAAAACATAAAAATCTGATTTTTAAAAGCATAACTTTTTATTTCTAATTTCTCAGTATGTACCAATATATGCTGATGAGCTACAGAGGGGAACTACATTCCTAGAATTAATTCAGCTTTTGAGAGCCAAGCTCCAAAAGCACAAATTTAATTTCTTGAGTTAGTCCATTAGTGTTTCTTGAGTTTTATTGCTGGTAAATGCAGGTCATAGTTCAGATCTGATAGTTGTTCGATATGGCCATAGTTTAAAATATTACCAGCCAAATTGGCCAATAAAGTAAACCTACTGTACACTTTAACAAGGCACACTGCTGAGACGGTTTTTCATTCGTCGTATCTTGCAGAAAGAGTGGCGAGAGGATCCTACAGGCATTTTCAAGAAAAAGGTGGCTCGCTGTGTTCGAAAGAGTCAAGAGATGGCCTTCGACTAAGGAACAACAAGGTCAGTGCAATAAATAGTGAGGATTCATTACAGTGTAAAAGGACAGGGTTGATAGTGCTTTTAACTAAACTGTTACTGCACATGTCGATGCATGAATATGAAGTTAAACACGCTGACCATTGACACCATTTTTGACTGGCAGCTTTTCATTTGGTCTCTGTTACAAGGTTGTGAAAGTTATCTCATGGCACTTAAACCTCCTCAAGTCAGTCTGTATAGTTTCTTTATGCTTCAAAATGTGTTTTTTATTGAAGGACATTTTATAAAGAAAATAATAGGAAAAAATACTCTGTCAGGGAGCACCAATGATGGTTAATACACAGACTGACACGTTCCTCTTGTTTCAGGTTGGAAACTGCACAGAGGATTGACAAGTGGCAACATGTCCAGATGAACATGAGGCACAAGTTCATCGCCATCAACTATCCATCCCCAAGGAGAAAGACTCACAGAAACATTTAAACCCATAGTTCTCCACTAGTTTGGAAACGCTTTGTGATAGTTATAACTGAATGGTTTCACACTGGGAAAGGTTTTCATTTATTAAAGCGGGGGTATTATGCTTTTCCACATTTACAAAAACTGTAAAATTACAAAGTTTGATGTCCATACTAGATGTTAGCAAAGTTTCAAATCCTGAGGTAAATATATGTTGTCATAAACCCAGAAAATAGACGTAAGCTGCTCAAAACGTGAGCCTGCGCGAAGACGCTAGATGCATAATACCCCCTCTTAAAGTTTCCACACATTCAGATGATGCTATCACTGGTCAAACGTCAGCCTTTGACTCACAGAAAGATTAATTATCTATCAGATTATTTCTCTCCTCGTGTAAATACTTGTCAGATTTTCAGGAGCATTTATTCCCTCTGAGAAGTGCCCCATTTCTTAGGTTGTTATGTTTACCTATTTATTTATAGTTTGGCTATTTTATAGATGCATATCGCCTGTTTAAAGAGAGTCTTCATTTTTTCTTTTCAACCTGCCACACTGAGCCAACAAACCTCACAGTTAGTTTATCAATTATGCAACAATTCTGGGGTGTTTGTAGTCTCATAATCATGGAAATAAACAAACACTGGCTTTGCTTTCCCTGCATGCAGAGAAAGTGCTCGTCTTTCCCCCTGAGTGGGAAACCCATCACCCAGCACTGCCTTAACTTTTTACTGCCAGCAAAGGAAACCTGTCTTCATAAATAGTACAACTGATTATATGCAGCAGAACTGTTGTAGAAAAACCAAAGAATAAACCAATAAAGTGTTTTTACTGAGAATGCTTCAGTTTCTGTGTACATCAATTATGCGAAAGAGAGAGACAGTGCAAGAATATTTGAAGTAGCACCAAATAAACCTCTCTTTGTATTAGATATTTAGTATCCCACTGAGCATTTTTTGGTCGAAAAGAGGTCTAATAGATGTTTAAATGTAACCTAGACGACGAAAGGTTTTTTTGGCCTCTAAATTTAGACCAAGTTTAGACTAGCCTGCTAACAGAGGTCTAACAGCCCACTGAGCCTTTTTTGCTCAACGGCTATCATAATTATTTTGGTTAAGTACTTGGAAATCAGTTATGCAACTCACAGTTGCTTTTGGAAAAAGTAGTTATCGAATAATGGGTGAAAGTCATAGACTGTATATACTATGGACAACTTGGTTCCGCCTACCGCCTGTATACGGATTCGAAGCCAAAGAGCCGCTGATGCCAAAGGTCAAATGACTGATTTTCACTTCAGAAATCTTGTGGCTATCTAGTGGTACTCTCAAATCTAGTAAAGAGGTGAATATGTTTAAACTACTCAGAATCAAACTCAGCCACATGTCTTTTTTTCAAACTCCATGATTGCTTTATTGAATTAAGCGCCAGCTCAATATTGTCATGAGTCAGACAAGTGAATACATATCTTCAAACTGAGTATAAAATCATCTCGACAGCACAAAAGCAAAGCTCTTCCACCCCAATCAAAGAAAAAAAAATTCATCCATCCATCCATGTCGCAGGTGTAGAACAAACACTTTGGGTCCTGAGTCGATCACTGTCCAGGAGCTGAGAGGCTTTTGTTCATGAACTGCTTCTTGACAAAGCACACCCACCACTGGAAGAAACAAATGTGGGGTAAGAGTGGGGCGATTCAATTCACCGTGACACCGTTTGAGAGCAAAACTGAACACTACTGCTTATACTGGTCAGATGATCATGGGAAACATAGCTTTACTTCTAAAACACATTTTGAAAATTAAATGTGTGAACTTTGCCTGGCATGTTTTGCAGCCTGTAGATGTTGGGACTCACCTTGCTTGGTTTGTCTGTCTGGGGGTCAAACACACGGTCACATAGCCTTAAACCTGTCTCTTGGCGGATCTGCTGCAGGTACGCCCTCATTGTGTCTGGACAAGGACAGGGAAGCAGTATGATCAATGGAACCATCAACATTATCAACTAACTACCGTGTAGTAATATCACTTTTGGAAAAGCTGCATCTGATCGTTACAGAGAGAAGAAACTGGTGTCTGTAGGAAAGACCAAATCTGGGGTGAACAAACATCCTCTTTTACCCAGACATGTCCTCTTTTTTGGGGTCTGACTGGCCTTGTACAGCCTTGTCCGGGGGAGTTTATCAAATCCTTCAAATGTCCAGGGTTTTGTATGGAAGTTTTGAGTTTGTGTCGTGTAGACTTACTGAGTTAGAAGCGTGTAAAAAAAAAAAAACAATCGACAATCGAACCGACCCGAAAAACTCTCAAAATTTACCATGCATGACTTTGTAACTCATCCCCACGTAGTCATGTCCTCTTTTTGGGGATTCAGAATATGGTCACCCTACCAAATTCATCAGTCTGACAAGGCTCATTGCAAGGTTACAACACTGATTTCTGTATTTAATCAAAATTGATGTGGCAGCCACTATATTTATTATCCTTTTAAAATCTTATCTTATTGAGTCAGACAAGGTTTAGGGAAACCATAAAAGCCTGAAACAGCATTTCCTACTTTCAGCTGATGAGGCTTAAATCATCGTTGCTATTTTTGGATGCAATGACACAACTTCAGCCAAGAAAACAGATGAAATAGAAGAAGGGAACTTGTCAGGACACAGACTGGGGAGACAAGGTCTTGCATATTAATAGCTAAAAAGTATTTAAAATAAAATAAAAAAATGTCCAGTTGAGCAAAACTTTTTGTTTTGCTTTTTATCCATCTACAGTAAACCTCCCAAGATACTCCCACAGGTACAGTCCTCATTTCATGGTGTGTGTGTCCTTACCTTCCTCCTGCTTGTTTGCTGGTTTAATGTACATGGCGTTGAGAGGGAAGCCAGGCTCTCCTGGAATTGGAAAGTTAGAGATGCCAAGAGTGTACATCTCCTTTTCTCCCTGGTTTCTGGAGCTGCACTGTAAAGAGAGACAGACACATTAAAGCAAACCGGCAGATGACCTGTCTATTGAGCATTACAAAGGCTCATTACATCCACATCAAGACAGGGAAAATGATTCACATTAGTACACTGTAAATCGTCTATAAACCCTTCCAGTTTTTACTTCAGATGGTAAAATGAGAACACTTCCACCTCTGTCATCTCTGAATATTCAGTAAATCTTCAAGTTACCTTCTGAAGCTTCTTTAGGCATTCAGAGATGTACAATGTGACATAAATCAGCGTTCTGTCGGCCTCATTCTGAAAGACAAAAGATGAACAGATTATAGCTGAAGAACCAAGAATTGAAAACAAAGACTGAAGACCCAATAAACTTTAATTCTGACCGGTGTATCAGGACATATTATTGCAATAAGTGTAGTTCCAACTCGTTCTGTACAGAAAAAGGTAATGTGGTTCAAATCCTGAGCAACTATGCATAGCTGAGGGGAATGGGAAACAGCAAGTTGGGGCATGTGGAAGAGCAAAATACAGCTGCTTGGAGAATAAAAGGGAGGGTGAGATGGGAGAGAGCTAAAACAAACAGGGACATGAACATGAGAGTGGTCGGTAACTGACTTAAATATTTATAGAAGACAGCTCATCTCACCTTGATTTCATAGTTCTTAAAGAAAACATTGGCCTTGAAGTAGTAGATAGCCTCATCAATGATGTCTGAGTCTACGCCTGAAATGAGAAAAGGGCAATCAGTAAATACAACATCTTAAATCAACACACAAGAATTAAAATCTGAGTGCTGCAGAGTCATTTCCTATTTGGTTTAGATTCATCTCCTTGTGTGAAGTTTTAGACTGTGTGTCAAAGACATGACAAGAGGAAGTTGAAGTTATTTACGCTCTTTCAGGCCATATATGGAAGTGATGCACACACATGCATCAGGAAATAAGCAATTCGTGACATTGCACGATGGAAACTGTCTTAAAAATGGAAATAAACATCTTTAACCGAATGCAAAGTGAGTGTATTTGTGGTCAACTGGGTCTAGCTTCACTCTGTACTCTAGTCTTACCGTCTCCTCTGGCTGGACCCTTGAACTGGGTTTTCAGGGGAAGTAAAGCCATATTCCCCACCAGTCTGGTGTCAGGGATCATCAAGCTTGAGTGATAGGCCTTAAAAAAGGAGAAAAATATGTTCAATTCATTCACAGAGCTGAGTCTGCAAACTCCTGTCAGTGTGCATCAGTGACAGCTCTACTACTAACCGTACATCGTTGAAAGATACAACACAACAACACTAAGAATAGATACTAAATCGATGAGTTATTGCAAAAAAAGGTAAAACATTGAGATAATTTCTTAAGAAGTGCTCCGTATCACAGATTTAGGAGCAAATGCTAACCCAGCTAGCCGACAAACCTAACGACGCTCGTCATCAAAGCTAGCTTTAGCTTTAAGGCCCTTCGTCACCTATAGGTTTGAGTGCGCCTCCTATTTTCCCTTATCGGCGCTTCTGTCGATCAATTTAGGTAGGAAAATCACTTACCGGCATGTTAATTGATAGATATCAGTCCAACCGCTCAAGCCGGAGAAAAATATTACCACCGTAGAGCCTCGCTTCCGCCTGTCCCACCCTTCAGCTATACAGGAAGAAGCCACATGCAATTCTGCGTACCTGCCGCATGAGGGCGCCAAACAACAGCTGTTACTGCACGGCTGAACTCGGGAAAGTTGAAGATATTTTTCGACTATAAAATATACACGTTATTTAAAGCCCATGAAGGGAAACTCATTTATTTTTCCTCTGGACTGTTACTGCATCCATGAACATCAGCCTCACTGACATTAATAACATAAAACTACTGTTAGGCCTGCTGACTGTAACCACATTAAATTAATTTAACACTGTCCATAATTACTCATATCCTAACCCTGTAACTGAATTCATTTTGTTTCACCATTACATGAGCTGTCGTTGTTGTGCCGTTGTTTTAATGTTTCTGCTGTCCCCTGTATCTCTCTCCCTTACTCATTCTCTCTCTCTCCCTCCCTCCCTATCTCTCTGTATTCCTCCCCAACCCAGCAGCAGCATGGTGGCTGTCAAGCATGAGTCTGGTCCTACCCAAGGTTTCTGCTTGTTAAAAGGAAGTTTTTCCTCGCCACTGTTACTCATGTTAGATGAGATGGGCCAAATCCCATCTTAGGTTGAGCGTGGTATAGACCTGCTCCTGCCGCTATATGAATAAAATTTGATTGATTGATTGATTTATATTTTTTCAGAAATACTTCTATTCACCTTTTATTTGGATGGCTGCAGCCCAGTTATGACTTCCTCTGACCTCTTTCCACCACTGTAAGCGCCCAAATGTGCACAGAGACATCATAACTGGACCAGAGAACAAGAGACGAAAGCGGGCTGGAAAAAAAAAAAACCTGCGTTGATTTGGTCTTCAAGTCATTCGAGTCTGATCCAAGATGGCCCTGCGTAATGTGTAGTTTCAAATGCCATTAATCCAAATAAAACTTTCATTGTTAACAATTTCACACAAACCAAATTTAAAAAAGATTGGTTCATTTGGGGTAATATTTATTTAAAAATATATAGCATTTATAAATCTATTGAACATCTTTAAAACTTAAACACTGTCCCATAATAATAAAACACAAGTTGCTTCAACTCAAATGTCTGTGTCAACACAACAGCACAAAAGATCAAACTTTTGAACACATGATGGAGCACAGTCATGATAACCAGGGCCTGTTTTTTTTCCCCCAAAAAAGCTCCTTCATCATGTCATGGAAGGTGGTGGTTTTGCCTTCCTTTTGTTGATGTTGTTTTAGTACAAGTCCCTTTTCATGCAGGATTCCTGGTGTCATGTAAATCTTTAGCCGTCCTTGCCATCTTGAAAAATCTCATCATAATTTAGGTTAGCTGGCTCCTCATCACCCTCCTGAACAAAAATGTAAAGATATGTATCAGTCAGAGTCTAAAAACAATGGGATTTAATTGAAATTACTAAACGTGTTTTCTGTCCGTACCTTTGGCTCCTTGAATTCGAGGTCCTCTCCATACTGTATGGAGAAGTCAATATGCTGCAGAACTATGTTTATACCTTCCTCATCTGTGCGGTCGAAAGGGAGGAACCTCACCATACTGTAGTCATCGATCTAGAGACACAGACAGAGCAAAAGGAGTGGGTGTTTGTCTGAACTTGGGTAAAAAATGAACTCTGTAAATCTTCACTTACAAGCTCACAGATGGCTTTAGTCAGCTTCTTGAACTTTTTGCTTTTGAAAGTATCTGAGTTATCTTCCATCATTGAGTACATGTCTGGGTCCAGGTACCTGATCAGAGACAAAAGGAAACAATTAATGCTGCTTCTCAATGACTAACGTGTTCAATTTGCAAACTTTTTGAAAGTTTAAATTAGCTCATTCATTCATTGTCTGCATTTTTTTGTTTAGAAGTCAGATCAGGTCATTTTTATATGTATAACTTTAATCAAAAATGTGTAAGCGAATATAGATCCTGAACTGTGCAGATAAGTAGAGAGAAATGGGAAAAAAAAGTAGGAAGAAAGAGATGGGTGACAGGCATTAAATACTAACATTAGATTCAGCCTTATGATTGGAGCAATGAGGACCTCCACACGCAAGATAAGCTGGTTCCTCTCACACAAAATAGTCTGCTTACTTTTCTATTTCCTTCTTTGCTTTGGGACTAAGCAGGTCCATTTTGGTCATAATGTTGACTTGAGGGATTTCTAATGACACCATGGCACTCAGAGCAGCCATGACTCCTGAGATAAACTGCAGTTGAGAGAGAAAGAAAGAAGATTACAGTTTATGGACAAATAAGTTTATAAGTTTAGCAAATAAGAGTGACGTAAAGCAAAACACAAGTGGCATTTACCTTGAAAGACTCCACCATAAACTGGGAGTCCACCAGAAAGACCCCACACACCCGAAACTCCCACTGCTGGAGCTGCTCCACCAGCTGTCTCATTACAGGGAGGTGTGTGTAAAGTTCAATCTGACCTGCAATAAGAAGGCACATGTCAAAACTATGATCAGCTTTACAACACAGTTTCAGACTGGGGCCCTTTATCTTAAAAAGTAAAATGGGTATCATAAACATAATGTTGTGATCAAAAGACATGACCATTTCCTTGTTTTGTTTTAAAGCTCAGGAGCCTGAAGTGTTATTTTTCCCAACAGCAATTAAATTTCACGTATCCCTCGACATTACTTTGATATGGCAAACACAGATAGCTGTTTCCTCTGGTCAATATTTACCTGGACAGTCAAAAAGTATATAATCATCCTCAACGTGTCCCAGGCTTTCCTCCAGCCAATCCAAGTTGTTGGCGAAGTACTCCATACAGAAAACCAAGCCTCCATTAGGGCCAAACCTGAGCGAGGGGTCCTCCATGACATCATCCACCTGGATCAACTCACGGATATCTGCGGACACAGACATTTATCTGAGAAGCAAATCAATGTTGTGTGGCCTAAAGCGGACATGACAGGAAAGCTCTCAACTGACATGAAGAAGTTAATTCAATTAAGTGAACACTATTTCAATCAGACAGTACGCAGTCATAGGTATTGGATCAAACATTTGGCTTTTTCTCTGGGTTATAATTTGCCACCATGTTTCTAACATGTAACTGCTTATCTATTTATCTTTTAATTTTAGTTTTATTTCACAGGGACAATGACATTGTATGTAAACCAACATTTCTGTAAACATGCCAGAGTCAGCCAAAAGGCAAGTTTCCATCTCTAGTCCCCGGCCACATGTTAAAATAAGCTCACTATGAAGAAACAACAACAACCACAAAACCAGATAGAGGAGACGGGAAATTATTTAAGGTGTAAGCAACACTTTCTGTTAAGTAAAAAATTGCAAAAGTGGGTATGTAACCACAAACATTAAGTGCATTTAGGACAAGCATTCAACAGCATTAAGCATATATTGAAAAAAATACATAAAGCATATAAGACAGACAAGAAGCAGGGATATGAAATAAATAAAATGAATGCTTTCAGGCAGGACTTTACCAAACCATATGGCTCTTAAAGCAAAGCCTTTACCAGCAAATTACACAAACCAGGAGTTAGATAAACACAAAGATCATCGAAAGTCTACCAGTGAATAAATGTAATTGTTCTTATAGTGCAACTAAGTTTATTATAATAACATGAACCTTGTTATAAACATGACTTCAACACCTTTTCTTTTCTTCACACCTTAACCTAGCTATGACTTTACATTGTATTTCTGCTGTAGTAATGTAGGACTGAGATCAATAATGTTCAGATATGAATCCTGTTTTTGAACCACCAACATGCTTTCCTCACCTGCCATGACAGGATAGTCAAAGTGCTCAGCTGCTGGGTCCAGGTTGACCACCTGAACTGACCGGTTTGAGGCCTCTACATGCTGGATCATGGTGGAGCAGTAGGTACTCTAAAATGGCAGATAAAACATAAATAATGAGAAACAAACAGCTGTAATCTGAATTTTGCTGGTGTGTGAAACTTGACAGCCTCATGCTTTAGCATGAACCGCTGTAGCTGAACAGAGTAATGAAGGATGTCAGATCCAGTCTCTGAATGACTGATGATGACTTACCTTCCCGCTGCCGGCGGGGCCCATCACCAGCTGTGCGTAGCGAGGCATCCTGCCTCGATTTAAGGGTGTTTGGTAAAGATTTACAGGATTTGAGCGGCTGATACAGCTAGCTGAGTTGTATTTACTGATGCTCAGTTCTTCTTCGTGTGTACCTGAACATAGCCGCTGTACAGAACTCAGGGCTGCCACCTGCTGGTCTGAGTATGAAAGTAAGAAAGAAAGCCCTGAGCAGACATACATCCAAGGGACAGAGCAGTAAAATATTCTGCTCAAGTTTAAGTACACTTAGTTTAGTAAGTACACAAATATAAGTACGCTTAGTTTAGTAAGTACACAAGTTTAAGTACACTTACTTTAAGAATATCTGATTTAAGTAAAAGTAAAACACCAAGTTTGTTGATCTACACAAGTACTTTATTTTACAAGTATAGTTTTGCTGGTATTAGATAAAGGAAAAGGAAATGAGGGGAGAGGAGAGTGGGGTAAGATAGCGAGGGGTCGAACTTGCTACAATGAGGATTATAGCCTTTATACTTGAGGTGTTTTAACCACTAGACTATCAAGCCCTAAGAAAAGTGTGAAATTTGGGTATAACTTTAATTAATCCTGTCACTAATGGTGTTGTTTGCTGTATGTTATAAAAAAATGTCCTATCAGGTCTTTCAATGTTACGTAATTATTGTGATGTAGTTATTTTCTTTCTTTCTTTTGTCTTTCTCATATTCACAATCTACCGCTCTACCCTCCAGTCCGGTAGGTGGCCGTTACGTACCGTTAACGTAGTTGCTACCTGCTATTCAATCAAAGAAGAAGAAAAGCGGAAGAGGCATCATCCTGAAACTAAACACTAGAAAATTAAGCTGATGCAAAAGCTTTTCTGACTTCGCAACAATCTTCAACTCTCCTGGAGCTTTTTCGTTTCTCTGAGTTATTAAAACCTAACATGTTAGAAAGAAATGTCTCTAACCTGAGGAAAGTGAATGGAGTTGACAAATGGAGCGCTTAAAGACAGGTGGACCTCTCTTTGGTGAGTGATCTTGGTGGTTAAAGACCGTCTTAGTGAGCTGAAATGTTGGACATGTCTGGAGGATCTGAACATTTGACACTCTGATATTTCTGACGGAGTGTCTAAAGTCAGAGACTCCCAGGTTTATTCGTGGAAAATGAGGCTATGTCAAAGAATTAGCTCCAACATTAATGTGTGACATATTAATGTGGTTCAAATGTTGGTTTGTCTGCGTTTATAAAGACATTAAAGACAGTAAAAGCTGCTGTTGGCTGACTGTATGGGTCACATAAATCTAATGACACAGACTCGTTTATTGTTTCAGGAAAATCAGCTATCTGTAAGTTTAGTTTCTGTTTCAGTTTGACTGCAGTTTAGTGTCATCTGTCAAGTTAAACTTCTTAGCTCATATTTTAACGATTACGGGATTTTCACGTCAAGATTATATAAAAGAGTTAAAAGGAATCTTAAGTTTGTGGCAACATTCTGAACAGAGACTTGATTTCAATCTTTTCTTTATAAGAAATGGCAGAGGACTGTTTCTTTCAGTTTGTTGTCAATATGAAATCTATTTCCTGATTATAAATTTACTTAAAAGTTCATGTTTTTATCATTATGGCTGTAAAATAACCTAAAGTTAGGGCTTGGTAATAAAACAATAATAATAATGATAACAATAATATATATATATAAGTCCAGGCCAAAATTTTGGACACACCTTCTCATTAAATGTATTTTCTTTATTCTCATTACTATTTAAATTGTAGATTCTCAGTGAAGGCATCGAAACTATGAATGAACACATGTGGAATCATGTGCTTAAGAAAAAAGTGTGAAATAACTGAAAAAATGTTTTATATTTTAGATTCCTCAAAGTAGCCACCCTTTGCTTTTTTGATAGCGCTGCAAACTTTTGCTGTTCTCAGCAAAAGGTTTGTACCATGAGAGGTGATAATTATTCACTTAGCATAAAAAAATCTATATTTTGTGGGATATTTGTTCAATCGTAGATTTCTCTAACCTCTTTTTTCCTCTTTGTTGTCTAGTGCTGTAGGCTATGAGCGTGGGTGATGGAGGACGGCCAATGTGGAGACTTGGATTACCTGATCCAAGATGAGGACACCCTCATTGAGGGTATCAGCAACCAGGTTTTATTTGTAGTGGTTCTCAGTGTCACCTTCCTTGCTGGCCTCTTGACTCTGCTCTGCAGGTGAGCAGCAACTTTGGGGGAGTATTCACCAGAGGGAGATAAGGGAAAACACTGTATAATTTTAACAGAATCACTTCAACTTCGGATAAATTACTATGTTAAAAGATCATTGAGTCCAGTGTGATAAAAACTATTCATGTACTTTTTTCCAAGTGAACGTACTGTACTTTACAACAAAACATGCTCCAGCCTGTCTCTTGCAGAAACATACTTGCACTGAGTTGCCTGTGGCCTCTGTTAAAGCAAATTGTATGATACTTGTTAAATTTACATGAAGGTAACCTGTACGGCAAGCTTTTCTTTGCATTTTGTCTTTGTTTTTCTGTTTACTCCTTAATGGCTATCTCGCTCTGTGCAACTAAAGCTGGATGCAGGTTTAGCGATGTTGTGAAACAGTCTATTGATTGTAAATAACTGATTTTGAATGATGAACTCAATACCTTCTCATCAGTCTTCACAGCACAGAAATATTTTGATTTCAAATGTCTGCATTTTGAATTTGTAGACAAGAGGAACAGAACATTCATCCTGAGAATCAGGAGCACGTTCGAGCTGTTCGACAACAACTCCAAACAGAGCAGGTACAGTGAAGCACTCGGTTTAGCCAATTTTAAAGTAATTTCAATCTTAAGTTAAACCCATAGATGCACACAGACACTGCATAAGATAATGTTTAAGTTAAATAAATATGAAGAGTCTGAAATAAAGTTTTTTTCTGTAAACAAAACTTTAATTGCAGAATATAGGGGAGTTTATAACTCTTTGGACGAATAACTGCTTTAACAGTTAGTGCATAAGTTTGAAACATGATTGAATTCTTTTAATCCCCATTCTTCTTTCTGTTTTGAACTTTCATTTAACTTTGAGTGTGTATGATATCAATGCTTTGATTTTGCTCTTTCAGGATGAAAATAGTCAATCAGAAACCAGGCAGCAGTATTACACGGACATGTCTTGTCCTGTGTGCTTACAGCAGGCTGTTCTGCCTGTGGAAACAAACTGTGGACACCTTTTCTGCGGTAAAACTCTCATACTATTTTAACACATAGACATAAAACTAAACAGTTTCTTTATCTAATACAGAGAAAAAGTGAAAATACTTCTCACTGCTGCTGTTCATTTTACCATGTCTATGAGAAAATGGTTGTTTCAACCTCCCTAGCTACATAATGCTAGTGCATGCTTGTATATGTTGTCTTTGGGCAATGCAGGGAAGGAAGAATACACACAGAGTTTGGCTGAAAAAGACAAACTAATGAGCAAAAGTCTAATTGTATCACAGATGGAAAGAATTATTCATCCTTGTGTTTGTTCTTAATTCTGTGTTTGTATGCTCTTTTCTTGTGTAGGCTCCTGCATTATAGCCTACTGGAGGTATGGCACCTGGCTGGGTGCTATCAACTGTCCCATCTGCAGACAAATGGTAAGACTTAAATAACTAATTAAAAAAACACTCATATCTTTATACTGACTGTGATTTATCAGCAAAGCCATTTACTCAGTTATTTTTGTGTAAATGTGAGAGTGTCCAAACTTAACTGCTCTTTCATCCCTGGCTAATAAGTCTAGCCTTTTCTGCTTTAGGAGGATTTTATTCATGTCAATGTTTGCACAAATTTCCATTAAGAGTTATGGATATTTATCGTCCATATCCCAGGTTACTTTGCTCTTCCCGCTGTTCCATGAGCATGCTGGTCCTCAGAGGGTCCAGGATGGTGAGGCAGAACCTTTGCTGATACTGAGGGACATCAATGATTACAACCGCAGGTTCTCGGGACAGCCAAGATCTGTGAGTACACCACAGCCACATACTGTACATTTGACTAAAAAAGGTTAAAAATCCTTTGTTTTCTTAACCATGAATGGTTTTTAGCCAACTATGCTGTTTATGTGACTGCTTGAGAAATCAGAACTCCAGAAATCAAATAAGGATCTGTTTCTGATCTTTAATCTGTAGTTAACATTTTCATTTCGTGCCCCTGAAGCCTGGAGCACTTCTGCTGTGAAGTCTTGATTTGCAGTTGTTTTCTAACTTTGTGTGTTTTTAACTCCTTAAAAAGCTTATTCTTTTGTGCGGCACATGTTTTCAGGAGCACGTTTCTGTCATTGCCCTTGTTTCTGGAGTTTGATTGTTTCTGCATTTGCAGCACAGAGACAATTGTATGGGCTGTTGTAAATTGTCTGTCCTTGTCAACCACTGTTATTATCCCTTCCATAATTGAACAAATTAGGGCAGTATACCGTCAGTCATTATTTCACAATAAACAATAGTGCACAGGGATTTGCCACATAACTTTGAGATCTCATGGTCAGCATTTAATTTTAATTCAAGAGAGTATATTTAAAACATACTTTCTCATCCTGCTTCCCCCTTCTCTGTGTCCTCAGTATATGGACAGGCTGCGAGATGTGCCCACCTTGCTGCGCCATGCCTTCAGGGAGATGTTTTCTGTGGGTGGCCTCTTCTGGATGTTCAGGATTCGAATCCTCCTCTGCCTGGTTGGAGCGCTCACCTACTTGGTCTCACCTCTTGACATCCTCCCCGAGGCACTTTTCGGCCTCCTGGGATTCATGGACGATTTCTTTGTCATCCTGCTCCTCTTTGTGTACATCTCCATCATGTACAGAGAGGTGGTTACGCAGAGACTCAACGGCTGAGGGCTAAGTCATCAACAAAGCCGTAGTTTTCTAAGAATGAGATAAGCCCTTCACCTGAGGTGGATGTGCAGAAAGACTGAAAAAAAAATGCGTTAAAGCTTTGTGGACCGTTACTCAATGATACTGGTCTTCCCAGAGAGTTCTCCTTTGAAGCCAGACCTGTTTCTTTATCACTGGAAAGGGGTTGGCTGAAGATCGATCCCTGAATGTTGATTCTGATGATGGACATAACTCTTTAATCATGGGTTCACAAACACTGTAGGAGGCTGGGGTGGGGAACAGTACAGCATGAGGGTGGTTGTAACAGAATGTGGTGTTAAATATATATATATCTACTGTGAGCCAAATATTGTGTTTCTAGGAAACTCTTTTTTTCGATGAACTGAGCGGCACAGTAAAAGCATCACAACAAGCTTATTCTTTTACAGCATTGCTGAATTTGGTTAATGTGCATATTATCATACTGGAGACAACAGTGTAATGTAATGTGAAGTTGAGTTTACTGTTTTGATGGCAGTGTTTTGATTATATGCATTCAAAGTTGGATGTTTGTATCCGAAGTGTTGACTGTTGGACACATTTTGTGTTACTTGAAGCATCCTGCTGTTGCTCTTAAAGGCTATCTGCTCAATTTGACTGATGATGCACTTATGTAAAGAACCCATGTTTATGAATATTCATAAAGATCTTACAAAAAAACAACAACAACAGAGTTTTATGCTTGTGTGAAAATACTTCACAGCTTTTACTAACACCTTGTATTGGATACAGTCTGCATCTCTATTAACGTAAATACAGACGGCGGGATTGAGAAATTCTAACTGTGGGTTATTTTAAAGCTCCTGTGAGGAGTTTTTAACTGTTTATAAAACAAAATGAAATAAACAGTAAGGTCTCTTTATTACCTACAACCCCACTGGGCATTTTTTGGTCTAAAAGAGGTCTAATAAAAGTCTAAATGTAGTCAGGCTGTCACAGGTCTAAAAATGAAAGTTTTTTTAGACATCTAAATTTAGACCAAGTTTAAACTCAGTCTAAATCTGGGCTATATCTATACTACATTGAATAATGCTCAACGGCTATCATAATTATTTTGGTTAAGTACTTGGAGATCAGTTATGTAACTCAGTTGCTTTTTGAAATAAGTAGTTATCGAATAATGAGCTACAGTGCCATGTCTAAATCCTGTCTAAAAATATACAGAATCTAGACGGTTATAATATAATTCAAGTCCATGAATATAAAAAAACAACTTTTATTTATTTCAATAATACAGTAAATACAAGTATAAATATACATTTATCTGCTGGGATATTTTTCTTGTAAGCATTGTAAGATTAGATCAAGATTTTGTCACTCACAAGCATTTGTATTCAACCAGCTTTAGCTTGTGCCTTAAAGATTTGCTATGTGCCCAAAACTATCTACTGGTGATAATAGCAGAGGAGAGAATCAGTGACAACAGATTACATCTCGTGGTCGTCACATATTCAGAGCAAAGTAGCAGCAGATTCACCAAAATACTGGTTAAATATCGATGGGTGAGCTTGGTAAAATTGCGCTAAAAGATGTTTTCTTTTCTTGGCAGAAATCTTGGTGTCCTGGTGGATGCTTTTCAGCAGAGCGCACAGTTCCTGGTTAGTGTTGTTCTTTTTAGTGTCAGAGTCATTTTTTATGGAGACCTGCTGACATGTTAGAGGACCTAAAGAGATAAAAATAAAGTATTAAATATTTCATGCTTGGTGACATACAGTACGTAATAGTTAGCCATAACCATCAATGTACAATAATTAACAACAGCTGCAACTCAATAAGAACAGTGTGGTATCTACCATCTACTCCAAATTTAGGAGCTCTTATATTTATAAATGGTATTGAATGGTGGATTTCCTTGAGCAGTTCTTTACCAGACAGTTTCGGCAGCTTCCCAAGGCTGGCCAGTTGGTCACTCACTTCTCTGTGCAGAGCTCCTGGTATCTACAGGCGGGAAAAAAGATGGTCTTAGTGGCTCATCTTTTCATGAAAAAAAAAATAGCTAAATCAGATTTTAGGTGTGTTTCCTGATGAAAGTGCTCAAAAAAGCTTGTATATTGTGAAAAAAAATGTGCAAGAAAAGTTGGACTAAGTTACAAACTTTGTTATGAATAGACTAATGGTAAAAATGTACAAACTAAGACTGATCTGATAAAGAGGGTTTAACAAGCATACTGGTATTCCTTTGATGTCAATAATGCGTCCTAGTCCTGGTCAACAGATGTGTGTCAGTGTATTCAAATCAGGCTGCACTGTTTCTTTAGTACCAACGGGTGTAATTCACCTAAAAATTAAATATCCCAAGTAGTGGGAATAACCTAAGTTTGTGCAAAAATGCAATGTACATGAGGGGCATTAAATACTATGGCTTCACAGAGCAGTGCACATAGATGTAAATAGTCTTTTTCCTTCTTACCTCAGTAACCTTACCGCAGTCTTACCTGTCAACTTATAGTATACAAAACAGTCCCCTCAGGATCTGGCATGCTTTTCTGCAATTGTTGTGACCTATAATCTCTTATTCAACTACATCTTTTTTTTAAGTTGTAAAGCATGTGCCAACGTGTGGACACTAACAGCAAGTGAGTGATAAATGACACCGGTAATGTTGCTGAATTTTCTTGCTTTATAATCTTTCTTGCCACAGTTGATTGCAAATTGTGATTCATTCTTATACAAGCTGTAGGTTATTTTTTAATGGTTTACCTTCTCTAGCTGTCCAAGGTTAAATCAGGACATTATCAGAGATTGACTTTCCAAAATTTTCATATAAAATAGAAATTCACTGCACACTTCTCCATCAAATCTCCATCATAATAAACTGTGGTCTTCATTCACAAAACTGAATAAATTCTCACAGTATTTAAACCACCTACTTTAAAAATGTCCTTCTCGTTGCTGAGCATGAAGACCACAATCAGATCCTCTGTCTCCTTTGACAGAGCCTTGCTGTGGAGGATTGCTCTACAAAAAGACCTCTTCACTGCCAGTCTATTCTCCACCTACAGGATGCAAAAACATCTCAGATGTCAACTAACAGAAAGGGGGAAAAATGAGCATGTGTAGTCTTGGAAACTAGCTCGACTGTTTACTGCCTTTGGCAAAACAGTACAACACTTATGACCCCATTTATGAAGTAAATAAAAAAGTAAGGTATCCGTGTCTTTATACAATATCTGGATGAGGGAAACATGATACTGAAGTTACGTGTGCTTCATTTACAAAATGTGGTCTAGGTCTACATTTGGGAGCCTTCTTTACCGACATAATAAGAAAGAGGTATATCACAACTAGATGTTGACACTCTTCTTGAGCATATCTATGAATAAGAGGTTAAATACTCTGGGTGTATTGAAGCATACAACACCATGATGCCCGTGTAGCCTTGAGCCCCACCATTGTTGTCACGTTACTGTGCTAGCAACACTGATATTTCATAGTCTTATAAAGTTCATTATCTGGTTAGCTGACTATTTTAGTAGTTTCTAATTTTGATGTTATTGTTAATTGAGTTCAGCTTGGCTGCATACCTACTGTATGTAATTACTCTACACTTAAAAAAAGGTGCAATGTAATCAGAATGCATGTTCCAGCACAATATTTATAGGCATTCACCTGCTTGTCCAATTTTATCCCTTGTGGATCACCAGCAAGAGCAGCAAATGTTAGCAGCTTGCGCAGCTCGTCTCTGCAGGCGGCAGGCAGCAGTTTCAGACAGAGCTGCAGAGCCTCAAGAGCTACGACCATCTTAAATTTCACTGGTAAGACAAAAAGGACGTTTAAGTAAGTGATGCAGAGGATACTAGATTTTAAGATGACTTGAGAATGTTTTCTAAAACTCGAGTTCATTTATACAAGAACACTAAATTCAGATAAGGAATAAAGTCAACTACTTTGAGAAACCACAAAAGAGACCACAACACTAGTTCTTACCCAGCAAGTCAGCAATTGCTGTGTAGACATCCGCCATGTGCTCGGGGAGCAGTGGGGGTCTGTGGCTGTAGTGTGACACCAGGGTCGAGTAAAGCAGCAGTTTATACTGAGTCAAATCCCCCGTAGATGGAGGAGGAAGTTCTTCTCCATCATTAGCTGCAGCAGACATGTATGATGTTTTATTGTTACAAATAAAAGCTCAAGGTATTGGCCTTTGTGAACACTACAGAGTTATTCAAACCAACAACCCTCTTTTAGTATTCAAAGCACTTGCCTCTTTCTTGGAAAGTGCTATCAGCTGGCATTTGCTCACAGCTGTCATGGTCCACTGCAAAGCAGTGAGACAGCTCTCTGCTTAGCTCCACTACTGGCTGATCAGGTAGAAAGGCAAGACAATCCAAAGCTGCACAGAGCCACTCATCCTCCCTGAAAAAAAAAATAGACAGTCAAAAGACAATCAATCAACAAATTAAATAACATCATATCTGTCCCAAGTCACAAGCTGCCTTGTACTGCTTTAGAAGATGAGATGTAAGACAGTAAAGGCAGCAAACCCCTCTCAAAAATGACAAACAAACACACTGAGTCTCCTTGAAAGCCTTGAGGATCTGTCTGTCCAGGTGGTTGCTGCTGTAGATCAGGTCTGTGTTATTGTGAGTCAAAGGGGTTGATGGAGGAGAAGATGGGGCCTGGCAACACTGAAGAACACCCTCCAGTATAGGAAGCTCCACCAGGTTCAGCAGCCTCTGGAGGGTCTGCTCTTGCCATATACCTTCTACCACTGGAGAAAGGAATAACAAATTAATCATAATGGGCTGTTAAATAGTTTCTAGTTTCCATTTTGAATAAGGACCTTTGTATTATTCACATTTAAGGGTAAGGTCAAGGGCCCTTGTTTGATAAAAAAAATCTTAAAAATAAAGCCCAGAAGAAGATAAAATCCTAAAGGATGTTGCCTTTTTCATTTTTGCTCAGTAAAGTTGCATTGTGCTTGAAAACGGATGGGTTCTTGTATCTACCTCATGCACTGAGACCATGGGTGAGTAACAAAAAGGACTTTACATCAAAGCATTATGAACTTAGTGTCTCACATGATTGTGGGTAAACTGTTTCTGTCTCAATCTTGCCAGGACTCTGTTTCAGAGTGTCCACCGGAGGCTTTCCTGACAGGTTGGCAGAGGCAGGAGTGTCCAGTTGGTGGGCTTTGATGAGAGTCTGAACATGTGATCTTGTATCGGAGAATGTCTTCACCTCCTGCCTAAAATGTAAAGCACACAGATGAGAAGTGTGGGGGTTTCCTTTAACTTTTCCTTGAAGCTAATGTGGTTTTCAATGTTTATGAAATCGACTAAAATTCATACTGATGTCTTTATAATGTAAAAGCAAACAACACCATAAGTGACAATTTTATGTTTTAATCATTAATGCCTTAAATTAGTGTGAGGAGCTAGTGTGCCAGCAAAGAAGACAAATAAACTGCCCTGTTTTTATAATTTTCACAAAATATATTCAAACAAATGATAGATTTGTCTGTCAAATGTCACTTAGCTACTTAAACTGTAGAAGACTAGATAAACAATGACTGCTTTGTCAACATGGGCACCAAAAGTTCCTTACAGGAGCTGTAAGTGGATGTAGATATGTAGATGTTTAATTACATGAAAGTTTTGCAATTATTTCAGATTTTTACCTTTCAGATAGAGTTCTGCAGAGATGTTTTTGGAGCTCATCCACAGGATAACTTTTCTCCAGATCACTGACTGATTGATTACACACTTCTGTAAACCTGTGAAGACAAATAACAAGACCAATGTGTAAAGCCCAGTATGTAAACCCAGTATGTTACTTTCATATCAGAGTGTTTCGTACCTATATACAGCTCTCTTGCTGTCTTGAAACACAGTCCTCTTCTTGTCTTTGCCAAATACCTCTGCCCCTACTTTCTCAAACATGTTACAGTCTAACAGAGCCTGACACACAGTTACCGCCTCCTCCCGAGGAGCACAGGCACCTTACATGTTTGTGAATCAAGAGACAAAAGGCAAATTATGAAATTTATTATTGTTCATAAACAGAATTAAATTAAGAATAGATCTGGGTCAAATTAAAAAGCAAACCCAAAAGTGTAATGTTGAATTTTCGCACACTCCAGAGACTATAACACCCACTGCCCTGCAGGCAAACACACACCCTGAAGGCCGTGGACGTGGTTAATGTGTTCCTCTATCACATCAGCAGCCTCTGAGCCGAGAAAGCAGTCCCTGTAAAACTTCAAGTGGACTCGTTGACGTTTCAGTGTCACCGAGGATCTGAGATGGGAGATCAGGCCACTCCACGTGGAGGAAGACTGAACCGGTTCTCTGGGTTCTCCGTGTGCTGGAAAAGACACGGATAACTTAATAGGCTGTTGTCATATCTAAAGATTGTCAGTGCGGAGTTAAAGTAATATGTATGACTGATTAATGTGAGTAAGGTAAAATATTGACACGAGAACCGTAAAGGGCTAGATGATTCGTCCTTTTTTAGCTTTTTTTTTTACAGTCTCCTGCATTGAATTGGGAGTTAATTGATTAGTGGGGGGTGTTTGCCACAATTTGACCGTATTCAATACACTTTGAGCTGAAAACCGAGGACTCCTTGAAATCGTTATTTGATTTAGGTCTACTCACCTTTAGGGCGCTCACATGATTTTCCTGCAAGGTTCAACATCGCGGCTTTTTCTTTAACTGAAGCCATGTGCAATGATCGGTGGGAAGCAACAGGCGATAACTACAGGTATAGGCCCACACACAGAGAACAGCAGCGTGATGTGACACCGACCAAGTCCTCGCAGATTTTTTTCCCCCCAGAAATGCAGTTTAAAGCTTTTACCACTTGGGGTCAGTAATTGACCATTCGTTGCGCTCCCCTTTAATGTTTCCTGATACAAATTTCTGCAGGGGTTTTGGTCGAAATTCATTATAAGGAAAGACTGATAATTGATAAGACTTTTGAGAGTGGTAGGTTGTTTATTCTGTTTACTAATATAATTATTATTATAATTATTATTGTTGTTGTTGTTGTGGTTTCTTCTTCTTATTATTATTTCTATTATTATTATTATTATTATTATTATTATTATTATTATTATTATTATTATCACTCACTACTGCCCCCCCCCAAAAAAAAAATAAAATAAAATAAAATATAAATAAAAAAAATAAAAAATATATACATCTCATTTGATACATTAGATGTTTTTGGAAACTGATAAACTACAAGAGGACATTTTTATCATTTATTGAACTTCATTCAGGTTTTTTTTTTTTGTTTGTTTGTTTTTCTTTTTTGTAATACAATTTTGTAATTTGTAAACGCAACATTCCTGTTCCTCAAAAAAGACATTTTTCCTCTGGGACTTTTTTCCTCTGTAATTCTGGGAGTTTTGTGTATGTGGACTACAGACTCCGCCCACCTCTCCTCTCAGGCAGACGCCAGACTGGGAAAGAAGCGGACCCGGCTATTGGCCGACACAGATTGAGAGACACCCAGAGACCTCGGGAGTACATGAATCCGACAGCCAACCTCAGGCTCCTCACCAAACAAAGTCGGTCTACGCTTGGTAACAATGAGTACATCAGAGACCTTGGATCGAATGGAGCTATGCGAAAGCCTCTTGACATGGGTACGTGGACAAATATGAAGTTAATAGGGTTTTTATTTCACTGTCAGAACAGTTTTCCGGCGCCGGCGATGCTAGCTAGCATAGAGGCTAACACTAGCTTGGTGAGCTAGCTGGGTAACGGTTGCAGGCTCGGGGAAAATGACGTGGGCTCACGTTGGTTACGTATACAGGCCAGCTGTTTGCTACTTTAGCTGCTGATGTGTTTCTTACCAGCCGCAACAAAACCGTACACACAGGAGAGACTGCGATGTTGTTTGTAATTCTGCGCAGTGAAACGTGTAGCTAGCTTAACTTTCCTAACGTCTGTCTGATGTGAGGGTTTCACACGGCAGAAAGGGTGGCCTTGTTTGGGTTCACAGATTCATAAATGGAGGCTTTTCTCTCCGGAGTGAAGAAATAACGTTACAGCTCAGTGTGTGCTCTGAGACGAGATTCCTGTCATTGTTTCCCCGTGTGTCACCACGGCTTCCTCCCTTCTTAGTATTTCTGTTACTAAATACAACAATGGTGGTTTGGATTTTTGCTCAGAAGTACCCTTTAACCTTCTTTAATATCCTCAAAGCAGAGGAAAAAAGGCATCAGACTGTAGCCTCACATGCTAGTGATTGGTGTATGTTTACATCGGAATAACCGGTAACGTGTCCTGAGTTGAGACAATACACTGCATATTATTTTTAAAGTGCTGTATTCTGGGTCTGTCAGTGTTTGAGTGACTATATCGTAAAACAAAAATGGTTAGTTTCTCGGGAAAACACTTTTTTTAATATAGTGCCAATTAGGGCCCGACCAATATGGATTTTTCGTGGCGATGCCGATACCGTTTATCCGATTACCGATTAATCGGCCGATTTTTTAAAAATTTTTATGAAGCTATGAAAAAATATATACATATCTACAGTATACTATATGCTCATGTACTGTGAGCCCCCTAAAAGTTGAATTTGTGGTAGAGCTGATTTATTGGTTTGCAATACATTAACCAAGTGTTCAAAATGTCTTGGCTGGTCAGCGGACATAATAGAAAAAAGGCAAAAAAGAAAAGTTACTTGATTCATGTTGATAGTTATTTTTTAATTTTTTTAAATCTTTTTTTATTTTAGCTTGCGTCAACAAGTGTTGCCTTGAATAATGAGTGGACTAACTAACAGGGGGAGCATGTGAAGGACACTGCATTGGTACTGCCATGTTTTTACAGTAAACTACTGGCACAAATGTCAGTGTTGTAGAGTGAAAACAAGCCCCGTGGTGCTTGTTGTAGTAGGGCTTAGTGCAAGCAATCGCCCTTATGTCTGCATAGTCATGTGCCTCTCACACTGTCATGTAACAAAATCAGCGTTCACATTTCCTTTTGTGAAATTCACAAGTGATCGCGCCTCTCAAATCTTAGCACTTTGAACCAAGAGATTCAGGGGATTAAATGCATTCATCATAACATCATTAATGTCTTTGTATTCTTAAAGTATAACAGTGAGGGACTATCTTAATTAATCACAATAGCAGATATGATAACCCAGCACCTGCTCTACTGTCTGTCAGTTCATCATAGGTGCCTCCTCCTTTTGTCTTCACTGTTCAGTTTATCTAATGCCTTTCGACATGCTTCCAGCAACTATCTAACATGCAAACATTCCTCACATACCTGTCATCTGTGAAGTCACAGCACAGACTGTGACTGCTTGTTACTAAAACACGTGAGACCGTACTTCTTACAAAACAGCAGTGGAGATGTCTACCTCTGCTTTGAGTCAATTGGAAGACCTGAGAAGTGATATGAAGAAACACGGGGTTACTACTGTGAAGAAGGTTATCAGAAAGTTTTATATTTGTGGCTTATAGATACACCAAAACACAAATATGTCACAACAGATGAAAAAACGAACATCTGAAGAGGATACAGTCAAGACAGCACACCTGCAAATACTAGAGTGGAAAAATACTTAACGATATTGGCCAAATGACAGTTTATTGTAAATCTGCTGTTAAATCTCCTACATAGTTCATGTTGTTGTTCTCGTCTGTTGTATAAGCCAGTTTTTCTAATGAGAGCATGAGATGCGAGTGATAAAATGCTGCCCTGTGCCAGTGCACAGTCACAGGACAATACTTTTTCTTCACCCGTATAAACACCTCTGTGCATAAAAAAGTTTTTTTCTGTGTGTTTAGAAAATATGTCTCGATGTGGCTTTGAGTGATTGTGCTTTCTTGCAATCACAACTTGCCATCACATGATAAAATTAGCATGTTTTACCATGTGTATTAAAGTATTTCCAAAAACAGCTCAATAATATGTATGGTGAAAAGACAGTTTAGGATGTTTTACACAAGAACAACAACAAAAGCATCCAGGCCTGCATTTGATATGTGATAGCAGCACATAGCAGAGATCCACATCCTACATTTGACTCTCTCATACTTTACATTGAAAACAAACAACAGGGTGTATCGGGTCTTAGTTATTTTTGTAGCATGTATTTTTGTCTCCAATATCACTTCGTCGGCACTACATACATGTTCACTGCCATTCTAAAACTGTGCTTGGTGTGACATTTGAGGATGCTAGTATGATGTTGGTACAGTCAACTATCTGTACAAGCTTTAGAGCGGAATAATGTTAGTCTTGAGGGACAAGCATCCTTTGACTCTCATCACTTCTATTAGGATTATCATCATCATTCAGTGTGTTTTTCCAGAGTCAGTCTGAGTCAGGTGACACACTCTCCGCAGGCTGGGTCCACTTCCCACATGTTCCCACAAACTCATAGGTGTGGCTTTCCTCTGTCTTGGTATTTCATGCCCGTGATTTCTTCATGAACTGGAGTTGGTATTGTTACTGTATTACTGCTGGTTGTTCAGTGCTCAGTGTTTGTGGATTTTCAGGAATGGTCATGTTCTTTTTCACAGGTGTAAATGCAGTTCACCCCAGAGCAGGAATGGGTACATCATTGATAAGATTTTTTGATGCCAATACCATTATCGATTCTACTAAGATCGATTGATTCTTTATTGATCCCTTGTTAATTCTTCCTGTGAATTTTTGTGTAGAAAAGTAGGCTTCACAGGTTTTCTTTGTCAACAACATTTTACGCACAGGCTGTTTTCTGATTGATGTTTTGTTGTAAATGTCCAGCTGTTGAAAAATCAGCAACAAGAAGCTACATGAACTTTGCTTAATTGGATAGAAATATGAGGATAATTTGAAAAAATTGTCAAGATGCTGATGCAACAGAAGAAATCAGCTACGTTTAGAGAGCACCTATTGTTTCAGAGGGTTGGCTGCAGCTCATCGACCTTTAACTCAGGCCAGGGACAACGGATCAGAGGCTTAACTCATAGACTAAACTTTGCACTCTTTCCAAATCAAGACATTATTTTTAGTCTCAGTGCAGATTGATCAGGTTGCATATTGCTAATGGACAAGTCTTTCAGTGTGAAGCACAAAAAACAATACAGTTCTTGGTTTGGTGGGCTGTAGATGGATACTAAAAAGTATTGTGATATGTATTTTGTGTCAATTTCAGCTGAATCTACTCGATAAATGGTGTTGGAAAACTGCAAGTTTGATCTGTGGAAAATCACTATCAAAGCTGATGTGATAACCAAATGAATGAACCTTGTGTAAGCATGATGAGCATCTCAGGCCACCAGTGTGACACAAGTAAATTTAACTCTTGTGCTGTTAATAATCAAAATTCAGCTATATGAACAATGTTTCAATCACTGCTAGCCGCTGATTTCCCATGATTCATAAAAACATAAGCCTCTTTCACGCACACAAAGCTCTGAAAACTTCATAAATTTACTGAGAGGAGTTTCATGTTTGAACAGAAAAAGCTAATTTCAGCTTATCTTAGCCTGCAGTCTTCCTAACCAGCTCCCTATCGTGATCACAGGATATGGTGGAGGCTGATGAGGTGTATGTCAAATGTACTTTGGGCTACCCCCAGAATTTTCATGAAATTCTAAACACAGGAGGTCAGTAAGTAAGTAGATAACACAGCACCACAGGAGAAAGTGTAATCTTGATCCTGCTGTTTTGGATTAAGCAAAAAAACCTATCTGAATTTGTAGCTAACAGGATGACTTGTGTAAGGGCAGTGGAAGTTTTCTCTCACTGGTAGTTGGTGTTATGTAATCAGGGCCATGTCTCAGCTCCTTAATGTGCTGGCTCTGGGCCAGTGATCAGTGACTTCAGCGACAAGCTGCCTGATGTAAACAACAGAGTTGTGATCAGGGTCCAGAACTAACTTTTTGACTCACCGGCAAAGTTGGCGGGTACATAAAAAAATTACCCGGCCAAGCATATTTTTAGCCTGCCATTTACAAGCCATTTGGCATGTAGATACAAATGTAATGGCCCAACTGGAAATCTACCTGCATTTGGCATGTGGTGGGTGTCAATTTAGGACCCTGGTTGTGATGATAACAGAGTTGTGAATTTTGATTTGATACTATTAAAAACCATTTGATACCATACCTGTTTCAACACCACAGAATTGAACTCCTGCTCAAGTCCTTGGCAACCAGAATGGTTCATTTTGCTACAAGGTGTTGGTGCAGATGCTACAAGGTGTTGGTGCAGAAAAACTTTAGCATTTTGACGTACGGTTAATAGTGAGAAAAGACAAAATAAACAAGATTTCCTTAAAAAGTCATGTTTAACAAACTTTCATCTTAGTACAGATGAAAGTTAAAACAAAGACGTTTGGCAAACTGTTAAAGCACACAAACCATCGTCATATGAGAAATCCGACGCTATGACTCTCCACAAGTTGTCCCTCAGGTCGTTTGTAATATTTGTGTCTTTTATCATAAAGTACTCTGTGCTCCGACATGTAAACAATCAGCTGGTTGGCCATGTTGGATATACCGGTAAATCAGATGTCGCAACAACACGCAATCTGATTGGTCAGAAGTGGAAACCCAGTCTGCGAAACTTTAGAAAAATCGACCATGATCCGAAAAAAACAAATGCCGCAATATCGCAAGTTGGGAAAACGTCGCTGATGTGAACGCTTGTATTGACAGGATACTGGTTCGAAAAAAAATATTGACGTCCGACTCCGAAATAATCACACAACAAAAACGGTCCTGGTGTGAAAGGACCTTTTAAAACCACTGTGAAAAAGGCGCAAAACAAGTTTTTCTGTTACCTCTCTATATTTTTGTTCAGTGTTGTTCAACCGCAGCTGTTTTCTCTCTCTCTCTCTCTCTCTCTCTCTCTCTCTCTCTCTCTCTCTCTCCTTTTCTCTCCATTCCACCCTGGAGCTCCATGTTAAAAATACAAGCGTAGGTCTGATATTTGTCTCATAAGCGTCAGTGCCTTACCATTCTTTCATAATAACAGCTGTTGTATTGTTTCAAGCTTATGGTATTTAAAATGTCACAGTGTCAGAAGCTAGTTAAGTAGGAATAAGAATGGTGAAGGAGAATGTCATGATGGTGACACATCAGTCATTTTGAGGCTACAACTGTCAATAAATTCAGACAAAAGCTCTTGGATGAAAAGTTAATGTAGCATTTCAGAGATCACAGCTGTTTAGTCAGTCTGGATAAATTTGTCGTCCCGATGCTTTCAGAAACCTGTAAGAGTTGTTATTGAATCATGTGATGTTGCTGATGTTATTTGAAGGGTCATGTTGCCCTCATGCCACATGAAGAGTGTCCTTCTCTGTGTACAGTGTCAGGTGTCTTCTTGTTAACGCTTCTCTGTTTTTGTCTGATAAGTGATATTACAGCCAGGCCATACACGCTCCAAGTTTAATGCTTAAATCTGGACCAAAAAGAAGTTAATAAAACACAGCAAATCAAAAGTGCTTCTAAATTTACCACTTGTTTGAAATAATGTGTTTATTACAGCAAATCAGCAGTTGTAAAAAAAAGTACTTTTCTTTAGTTCTGTTTTTTCCTCTTTTTTTTTTTTTTTTTTTTTTAGAAAATCAGCTTTAGTGAAGTTAAGCAACAGATTTTGATAGCCTTGTGTAATGTACTTTATTGTTATTATGCCTAGGCTTGAAACCATTTTTCACAACCAAATCTTTAAGAACTTTGATGAGGTTTTCACATTGTTGACAATAACATGGTGAAGATATGAAAACCCTTGTTGAATGAAACATAAAGCACTCAGTTGAGTTAATTTCTGCTGGGTTACCTCATGTTTATCCAGGGCAAATCCTCCATCAGGGATCTGAACTGTGTTTCTAATTGATATGCAGTCACAGTAAACTTTCTGGCCGATCTTCCTTTCCTGCAGCTCAGAGCTTGACAGCTGTAAGTCCTGCCACGTAATGAAATGTGAGATCGACAGGAAGAATTTCAACCACACCAAAAACTCAACATTCCTCCTCCCAACTTCCCGTCGTCATGCTGCACGTGGGCTTTTGGCGTGCAGACTGAGAAATATTCACTGTATGGGCAGCAGACTTTTAGCCTGGAGGAAAAGTGGAACTGGATAATAAAACAGATAGAAAAAGGAACATGAGAAAGTGTGCACTGATGACTTGCAAAGCTATGAAAAATCTTGCCAGAGTACAGGAGCAGGAAGTATTATAGCTTGTCAGTCACAGTGGTGGTTGTTGTGTGTTTTAGGCAGATATGTTGTGGTGACATTTAACAGCCCAAACTGCACTAAGCGCTTAAAGTGTGTATCTGTTTGTTGTTTTAGATTCAGACATTTGGAGTGGAAGCTCCATGCAAGACTGTAGAAGACCTGACAAGTGGTATCGTCATGGCTCAAGCTTTGCAGAAAATGTAAGTTCTTCTCTCTCAAGAGGATTTTTCAAATGTATTCACCAGCTGCATATTACACGTCTAAATCAATATCCTCTGTTTTGAATTTCTCAGAGATATAGTTTATTTTAATGATGCTTGGATTAGTAGAATCAAACCAGAAGTCGGAGACAACTGGAGGTTAAAGGTAAGAGTCTGTTATTTGCTTTTTACTTTGTAAAGCTTTTGTGAAGTCAGTTTTTTTTTTTATTTCTGTTACGTAGCAAACCTTTTCTGTATTTTGTGTGTTTTTCATTATCTTAAGTAAATGTACACGATGTTTCTTTTTTTTTTAGGTCAGCAATTTAAAAAAGGTCTTAAAAGGCATCCTCGACTACAATCAGGAGGTGAGTAAAATCTACTTTATTTAAAAGACTTGATCACTTCCCAGAGCTCTGACTGAATTTGGAGAAGGATTGCTGATTTATCTTTAATCTCAGACACAACAATTGACACCAACATGACGAGGAAGTGTAGTTTTCATTGAATGAGTTTTTATCATTAACATCATTTTTAAACCACAACAAAAATTTGTTCAGGTCTTGGGCCAGCACATCAATGACTTCACATTACCAGACGTGAACCTCATAGGAGAACACTCTGACGCTGCAGAATTGGGGAGGATGTTACAACTTCTACTGGGCTGTGCTGTCAATTGTGAACAAAAACAAGGTGACCTTCTTTTAATCAGACTGTGTGCTGTATGTTCTGAGATTGCAGTTTGCATCAGCAACAAAGTTTAAAACTGAAATTTACATCAGTGTTTTTGTCTGTTCTCTAGAATACATCCAGACCATAATGATGATGGAGGAGTCAGTGCAGCATGTTGTCATGACAGCCATCCAGGAGGTGAACCTTCATGCTATTTCTGACCCGCTTTGTGTTATATTGTTTTTGATTTATTTTAAACATTTTCTGTGCCATCAAATTGGTATGACAGCTAAGTAAAACCCTCTGACTTGCGTAAGTGAGTAGTTGCAAGATTGACTGTTATCAGTAAACTTTTCTGTGTCTCTACAGCTGATGAGTAAAGAGACTCCAGTGTCTGGAGGAAATGACTCATACGCAGATCTCGACAGACAGGTAAAGAGATTTAATCCAATAATCTCATTTTAAAGCCTCAAAACCTCAGATTTTCTTGCGCCATCAATACAAACTTCAGCTAGAACACTGTATGTATAGGTTCACCACATGTTGTTGTATGGTAATGATTTACAGCATTTTTTAATTACTCTTGGGAAATAATCGATATGTCAGAAAGTATAAAAAATGCCACAAACAATGAGACTTCATCTTACATTTCCCACCTTTACAATCACAAACCTGTAAGATAGCTGGATTTTTGTAGAAGCTGGCACACAACCTCATCATTATTGTTATTTTCTGGCTATTCTCTTTGTACAACCTTTGAGCAGTATGTTAATGACCCTGAAGATAATGTGAACAGTTGATGAAGTGGAAATCGAACCCTGTTTTCTGTGTTGTCTGTTCTTAGCTGAAGAAGACGGTGGAGGAGCTGAACGATGCCATGGCTACCAAGGAAGAGATCGCTCAGAGGTGCCGTGAGCTTGACATGCAGGTTGGTTTTATTCAATTTGATGGACTCATGTTCTGCAGCAGTATACGACATCAGACCACAACAGTCTTAATGACTTTACCTGATAGAGCGAAAGCCTCTAGTAGTTAAAGCAAGAGTTTAATTGAAACAATAGCACATGATAAGAAAGTGTGACTGAGTTTCCAAGATGTTGAAAGAATGTCTTAAAAACATAGTAATGTGTAATTTGAACAGCTGGGAGCAGCCTTGTTATGATCGAACATGCTGTTTAAAACTGAAATAAATATAGAAATAAAGAATGGAAACAGATTAACTTACATCTAAAATACAAAGTTTCACTGAGTTATGTGTTGAGAAATATACCCAATGGTTCATTAAGCATGCTGCCTCATTAGTCCCTCTACCACCCAATATAAAGATCTCATTTGTTTTCGCTATTATTTGTAACTCTTACTGTCACACTGGTTCTGTTCATTATTCTAAAGCTAATACATGAACGCTTTAAAAGCAGCTCCCTTTTTGCAAATGTGCACCACCAACACTGATTGAGTTTTTTCAACTTTATTGTTTTTTTAAACAATAAAAAAAAACATCAGACCACTATGGGAATATTTATGAACTGTTTACATTTTCCTGATGATCCGGGTTTCACAGATAAAAAAGGAGCTGTAGTTTAAAGAGTTACCTGCTCTCCTGCTGTATTTCCTCCTATTTCCTGACCATTTCAATACTGTGTGCCTTACTTTAAAGGCCCTCCATGTCCAAGAGGAGCGTGATAGACTGAGGTTAGAGTTAAATGAGCTAGAAGAGAGGGTAAATCCAAACTTTCTTTTCTTCCTGTCTCTCTTTTTTGACATTGATAGTGTGTGCTGTGTCTAATGGTCCTGGATTTTTTTAGTCTGCTTGCAACAGCATCCCCCCCGTTTGGAATCCAGATTCCCCCCTCTCCTAATTACATGTGCATGTGTGTGTGTACACATTTGTGCACAAGTGTTTGTGCACATGTGTACACTGGTCCTCCTGGGGCACACCAGCCACAGCTGCAGTTTTTGTGTGGGTGTGTCAGTTGTCGCCCCTGCACTAATTACCCTCTGCCTTTTTACCTTTGTGAGTCACATGCTCTCCAACAGCAACACTGGAAAATAAGAAGAAAACATAGTTTAACGACCCTTGAAGGCATTATTTCTTGTCACAATAGCCATTATTCATAAAAAATGTACAATTTCATTCCTTTTGAATAAAAAGACAACCATAGTATCATTTCATATAGTAAAGGTAGTAAAAACAGAAAAGTTTGAATCACTGACAGGGCTCAACAGTGTGACCGTTTCACTTGCATTTGTGACTAAAAATAGATGTGTGCGAATTATAAAATGTATTTAGGGGCACATGTGCGCATGAAAAAATCAGCTGAGGCGACAAATAATTTTTCATGTTAATACCGCAGTGGAGTTAGTTTTAGGTTGGATATCAGACGGACATTAACTGCGGATCTAACAGTGTCTTCTCACTCTACATAACCGGGAATAGCATGAGCAGCTTAGTTAAATCTACTCGGCACCCTCGCTGTCAATGTCGGGTGTTGAATAAGGGACTGTCAATAAATTACCGGTTAATGTCCTCAAAAAAAGCTGTTTTCCTTCAATAGCGTCCATGTCACGTGACCAATTGACCTAAAATTGATTTCAAATAATAGTACAAAGATCGGACAATAAGACACACCTCTTTATTTCCCTAATTTCTCCTCTAAACATTTTTTTTTGTTAAATTTAAAGGCAAATTTCAAACATTTTCTTCAGTAGCTTCCATGTCACATGATCAAAAGACCTGAAATTGATTTCAAATAGTAGTACTTATGTCAACTAATAATACACACATTATTTAATAAATTTTTATTGTGCCCCTAAAGTTCTTTGTGTGCTCCTTACTTTGTCAACTTAGGAGCACATGTGCTCCTTCTGAAAAAAGTTAGTGTCAAGCCCTGACTGACTGTACCACTAAAAGCTCACAAAGTTCTCCTACGTTTAAAAAAGAAATGTTTCATGTGATAATAACATTTCACTATCATGTCAAACACAGCCAGAGAATTAAAGAAATTATGGTATGGTATCTTAACACCTTGTTGTAATAAAGGACCCTGGCTTGTTCATATCACAGTCAGATTTTGTTTCATTATATTTAACAAATTTCAACCATTTCAATCTCGAATACACCTCTTATGAATGGTGCACTGAGCTTTTTTATTAGTACCTCCTCATCTTAGAACCAAACAGCTTCCTGCTTTGCTCTTTGTGGAGTTTGATTACCTGTCAATCATAATGAAAAGGTGCCATCAAACCAGCCCTCTTTGCTGTGTTGGAGTTTTTTGGTTTGCCTTGTTGAGGTGTGCGTTTGATGTGTGTTTGCTCAACTTCTAGAGTGGCTGCAGTGATTGAAAACAGTTGAATGCATCAATAGTTGTTCATGTTCTTTAGAGAGGCTTAAGGTATTCAATAAAAACAGTTCCAGTCTTTTCTAACTTGTTTATTTTCTCCTTTCTTCTCTCCTTCCTCCATTCTCCCACTTCCACACCTCCCATGTTCCTTTGCTCCCTGTTAATGCCCACTGTTCTTCATGCAACCCCCTTTCTTCCTCTTTCCCTCTGTCCCTCCTACCCTTATACTTAATTTCTCTCTCTCTCTCTCTGCTGAACCATCCTTTTCTACTCTTTTTTCTTTTTGTATTTCTGCTCTTGTTTTCTTCCTCCCTCCTTTAGGTGGCAGCTCTGCAAGAAGAGAAAAGCAGTTTGCTAGCTGAAAACCAGGTCCTGATGGAGAGACTTAACCAGTCGGACTCCATAGAGGACATAAACAGTCCTGCTGGACGCCGACACCTCCAGCTGCAGACACAGCTGGAGCAACTACAGGAAGAAACTTTCAGGTAAGGGGTTGTTTTAGCCCCATAAATAGAAAACATGAGTGGACGTGTTTTTCTGTCAGAGGTTTTAGGATTTTAATGATGACATTATCTGATCTGTGTAGGTTGGAGGCTGCAAAAGATGACTACCGGATCCGCTGTGAAGAGCTTGAAAAGGAACTCTTGGATGTGAAATCACAGAATGAAGACCTCACATCCCTCGCTGATGAAGCCCAGTCTCTGAAAGATGAGATGGATGTTCTGAGGTACAACAAGGAGGCCAATTTTTGCTTCACAACACCATGAAATCGAGTTCTCTCACAGTAATGTTTGGTTTGCCCTCATTTAAGTTTCATTTAGGAGTTGATACAAAAAGCTGAAGATAAACACATGAGAAAACATGAGAAACTATTATCTGTATCTTACAGAACAGCAGTATTTTTGCAGCTTTTTAGAATATAATTGAAGGTACAAATTATTTGAAAAGTGTAGGATCAGAAGAGCTGTATTTAGAATAGTAAAAGTAGTATTGTAACCATGTCCTAATGGAAGTGAAACTAGGCCAGAAAAACAGGAGATGGTTCATAAAAAAAAGTTATTGTTGAACCCTTGTCCTGTTATCTCAGTCTTTTGTTATCCCAGGTGTGTTGCTACACAAACAGAGCTGCGATGAAGCCCCTCCTTCACCCTTTCCTCTGTAAATGCAACATCTTCAAATGAAAATACCTGCTGTTTTTCCTCCTAGGCATTCATCAGACAAAGTCTCAAAGCTGGAGGGAACAGTAGAACACTACAAGAAGAAACTGGAGGATATGGGTCTTCTCAGGAGACAGGTACACCACACACAGAAACTCAACTTAGTTGTTTTTGTTGTAGATAGTTTCTACGCCATGCTGCAATTAATATCTTCTGATGATGCCATTGATTCAAGCTGACAATGTGTTGCATACACACAGACACAGGAAATGGGCTCACATTTCTGTCCCTATTTTTCAGAACAAACTGATGGAGGAGAAGAACACAGTGTTAATGCAGACTAATGTCAGTTTGGAAGAAGAGCTACGGAAGGCAAATGCTGCCAAAGGCCAGCTGGAGACATATAAGAGACAGGTCAGCAGCCATATTGACTTGATGATCATCATTGGCATAGACGCCATCATGCACCCCGTCATGATTCTCACATAGACCCATACAGTAGGTATCCTGCATTAACTGCTGGTTTCTCTGTGCAGGTAGTGGAACTTCAGAACCGACTGTCAGAAGAATCTAAAAAGGCAGACAAGATGGAGTTTGAGTACAAGCGGGTCAAAGAGAAAGTGGACTCTTTACAAAAAGAAAAAGACGTACGTATGAAAACAACAGTGTTAGTTTAAGTGGAATTATTAAAGAAAATGGTTTAAAAGAAAACTGTGTGTGATTCTGGTGTGCAGATTTGGGATCTTGCAGACCCCGCTCTATTCTCTTTCCACCATCCAGTATCATCTCCATTTAGCTTGTTCTTTCCCCCTACAGCGTATGAGAACAGAGAGAGACTCTCTGAAAGAGACGATCGAGGAGTTGCACTGTGTGCAAGCCCAGGAGGGACGGCTCTCGTCAGGTAAAACCTATACCTGCCAAGGCTTGTTAAATACGGGTAGCTGGCCTTGCCCCTTTGTTAAGTATAGGTCTACTTTTCGAGCCTTAACGTTTAATTCCCTGTGCTAATACTGTTTTTGTTGTGTTACAGGTTTGTTCCCGTTGACCAGTAATGATGGCTCTGATTCGCTGGCTGCTGAGATCACCACTCCAGAGATTCGGTAGGCCCTGTGTTTTTATAGGTTGTAATTAAGAGTCCTGTAAATATTCAACCTTGATAGCATTACTGTGCAAGAGGTGGGTGAGGTCCATTAATGTAAATACCATGCTTTACACAGGGAGATAAATCCTGTCTGAGAATGCAACAGTAATAGTGGGGATGATTGAGTTTGTGTTTGAAGAAAAATCAGGATTATTTACATGCTGAAAAAGTTCTCAGTTGTTATTCTAGGGAAAGCAGCAGGTATGAGAGGTTCTTCTTCACACTGACAGATCCAGATAACTGGCTCTACTGTTGATATTCCTGATCTCTGAGTGTGTATGTGTAGACAGTGTGTGTGTTGCTGTGTCATTCAGTTTGAAACCAGCTGGTGTTTATAGCCTGCCCCCTTTCCCCTCTCTGCCGTTGTAAGGTAGACGAGTTTGGCCTGTCTGTAGTGAGTTGTGTAATAGCTGTGTGTGAGTTACATCAGCCTGACTGCCGCTTTCCAAGAGGGCTGGGTTTTCTTGCTTGCAGCACACTGTGCCTGGGTATTTATTGAACCAAGAGAATGTGGATTTACCTCGAAAATCCTAATCCACTAAAAGCTACGAGTGGAAATAAAAAGTGACATGAATCGCATTCGCCCAGTGCAGGCCGTGCAGTTGAATCTGAAGTAATGTCATATCCCGCAAATGATCATGTGAGCTGTATGAAAAGGAGAAATGATTCTTGTCTTGTCATTGGCTATGTATTTTAATGCATTATGGGTGATGTCTGTTGGTTGTCAGGTCACCATCAGTGAATGCAAAAACTGAGACTCATCCAGCAGCATCTGGTGTTGATTTGTCAGGTCTTCCTTTAAACTATAAAACAGGAAGAGCAACAGCTGGAAATGCAGTTTTTCTCTGGCTATAATGTGTCAGAAACAAGCCTCTGCCGGAATGAAATGAAATTTATGAAGCTACACAAACAGATTTTCTTTTTTTGCAAGTGGTCCAGCGCTTGCCCCGTCCTACTCTGTGCTAACCAGGAGCTGACTTCATTCATGTGGAAACTTTTAGCCAGTTCTTTACTTGAAGAGGAGTCAGCAACCACACCCTTAAAAAAACATGACCCAAGAGACAGTCACTGAAAATGATATCAGACAAAAAACAAAAGAAATCTCATCTGCTCAGTGCATTGGCCGCAGCTGAAGGGATCACAAATAAACATAACAGCGAAAATAATAAATAAAACCTGACTACACATCCCCCTTTTAAATGTAACCAAGCCCTTTTTTTCACCTGACACCTCAACTTGCATATATCCCGCAGGGAGGGCGCAACGGCTGGTTGTGCTGGCTCTGCAAATGCTAACCACACATAGCAAATCATTTGAAATTGTTATCCTGTAGATTCACAGAGGAATAAGGGTTGTTGAAGCAACTCTGAACTAGCATTAACTCCAGCCCAGGGTTACCACCAGGTTCATTTAGACGTAAAAGGGCTTGATGATCTTGTGTTTGACTATGTTGAAGAATTGTGCACAGTTTCAGCTGTTCTCTTATTACTTTTTTTGCCTTTAGATCAGTGGGCTAGTGGGAATCTAATTTTCCATAATGACTATGACAGCAGTTGCTTTGGGGGGTGTCCCGATACAACATTTTTTACTTCCGATACAATACCGATATTGTAGCCTTCAGTGTCAGCCGATACAGACATTGGTACAATTGCTTCTTTTTCAGACTTAAAAAAAAAATACTACCACACAGCTGACATCACTCCTACTCCTTGCTACTCTGTTGGTACCTTAGTATACACTGTTGTTGTGATTATGTGGGCTCTGCATACTGGATCCAGGTCCTGCTAGTCAGAGGTGGAGTCTGGAATGGACTGCTTGTATTGGAGTGCTGATACCATACATTTTAGATGCAGGCCGATATAATCCGGTATTTGTTTTTTGGCTGATATCGGACCAATATCTGATATCAATATCTTACTGGGACAGCCCTAGTTGCTTTGGAACATTTTAGGTGCAATAAAACCACAGTCAAGTGAAAAAGCTACTCCGTGAAGCATTAATGTAAATATTAGTAATTAATAATATTAATGTAATATTATTTATTCCATCAGAATAAATGTGAAAATCAAAGTTCATTTACACTTTCAATCGGATAAATCACCCGTAGGTTTACCAAACACTGGGATTTGACATCCTCACCGGTTGTTACAGCTGTTTTTTAATGAGCTCTATCCACTGTCTACTGTGTTTCTACAGAGAGCATATGATTCGTCTTCAACATGAGAACAAGATGCTGAAATTGGCCCAGGAGGGATCAGACAATGAAAAGATCGCACTGCTGCAGAGTCTATTAGAGGACGCTAACAGGAGAAAAAATGAACTGGAGACGGAGAACAGGTCAGTGAAGAGCACAGAAGGCAAACAAATGCATTTTGTCACATTACTTATTTGTGCTTATTTCCTTCTTAAAGAAAGTAAACATTAAATAACAAGTCACCTGATATATTTTGTTTTAAGGGCCACAATTGCAGCATTAGCATATTCTGTCTCTGTGTTGAAACACAAATCGATCTTTTATGTAATCCCCCCACAAAGAGTTTCTTTGTTAATACTGGAATTTCAGTCAGTGACCTTTTAGCCAAAGTCAACCACTGTAAAAAAAAGGTGCAGTTTTACTCTAACGATTGGTGCTTTTCATGCAGGTTAATTAATCAGCGTCTGATGGAGGAGCAGAGTCAGGTAGAGGAGCTACAGAAGAATCTTCAAGAACAGGGTTCCAAAGCGGATGATGTGAGTAACAAAATGTTTGTTCTGTGTTGTGCGCTCACAACTCTGGTAGCACCTGAAACGTTGGCGGAGTTGCATTCTTTTCATACCACACCTGGTAGATAAAGATTGAGGAGAGTATCTAGTACGCCACTCCTTTTAGGTCATTTCAGACAAGGAACAATTCATATCATTGAGTATTTGTGTATTTAATCATGTGAAGCAGCTCATACACAAATGAGAATTCTTTTGATTCACTTTGATTACTTCTTGGTAATTTCTCAAACTCTTCATCCACTGTTTTTTAATATATGTATTTTTGCACTAAAGAATCTTAAACCGTTGACATGGAATACAATTTATAACAACATCAAACGTTGAGCACATCATGGAAACTGATTAATTAATTTTTGTTACATTTTAAGAGGAGTGTCTAAGGAACACAATTTGTTAAAGTTTAATTATCAGAATAATTTTAGTGATTCAAGTTTGTGGAATTTGGACTAAGCATTAGGAGCAAAATTCTGAAAGACAGCACTTCTTGCAAACAAGTGAAATATTTGTGCGTTTTCTTTATGACACTTCTGCTCTCAGACTATAGTAAGTATCCTTTTTTGTCATTCCTAATAAATTTAAAGTGTTAGTTCCACCAGTCGGGTGTTTGCTTGTTTTATCATCCCTCTACAAATGTGTGACATCATTGACAGTGTCTAACATGCACATAGATTGGTCTGGAATAACCTCCAGGATAATGTAATCTTAAACTTGTACCAATCCTTTACCTGCAGTTGTGCATTTATTCAAGCGAGTTGTTACACACAAGTAGAGGATGATTTCTCCAATAGAGTAGTTTGAATTTTGATGGTCTATCATAGATGTAGAAATCACATCCTCTAGTAACTTTTAAGAATCCTTCTCATGTAGATTTTTTATCCTTTAGAAACCCCTCTTCCTTTGGTCCTAGATGCTGTTTGATTTCAAGTCAATAGATATTGTACGCGGATGGTTTTACGACACACTAGCAAAGACAACAGAAGACAAGTAGTTATGATAAAGATTTACTTATTAAAACTTAACAGAGAATCAAAGCAATCCTGTACATAATAATTTCAGCAATTATCCAAAGTGGAAGTGTTTTATGTGGTCTAATACTGATGTTTTCCTTTTTTATATTTGTTTGGCACTGCCCCCTATTGGATGTGAAAAGGACTGTGTAGGACCTTGTTATGTAATTGCCCCTTTATTTACACCCTTTACAGACCACTTTAACTCAGACAGGGAATGACACATTTCTGCATCTTTGTGATGTCCAAACATTTCTGATGACTTAAATTGAACACCAATGTGAACATATCCCAAGTCTTCTACTGCGTGCTTGTAGTATTTATCTGTCAAGTGGTTTTGGTTCAAATAAAATTTTAAAAAAAAGTAATAAAACATACCCTGTATCTTTTTTTCAGTCTTCCATCCTGAAGAAGAAGTATGAAGAGCACATGTAAGTTATCCTAGAGCAGACCCAGAAAAATGTTCTCTTTGGTGAAAGAAGATCAGAAAAGATTTAAAATGTCCTTTTTGTCCTGTCTTAGAATTAGATCTTAAAACTTTTTTTCTTTTTTGTACATTTCATCAGGGAGAAACTACGAGAGTTGAACAACGAGTTACTGAAAAAGAACACTCTTATCGACGAAATGGAGCCCAAATATAATGCCAGCTGTGAGTTTTGTTCCTGTCGAATTCGAAATGTGTGAAATGTAGCCGAACTCTTGTTGACCTCCATCATCTCTTTCTGTCTGTTCTGATCATTTTGAATTTCTAACTGATTTTATTTGTGATTCTGTGGTCAAAGGAATGAAATAAATAAAACATTTGTGTTTTTTCCCTGATAGCCCAACGAGTTGAGGAACTTGAAGAAGCATTAAAGAAGAAAGATGATGATATGAAACAGATGGAGGAGAGGTATAAGAAATACCTGGAAAAAGCCAAAAGTGTGAGTAACCTATAATTGTTAATTACACACACTTTTTTTTTTTTAGCACAGTGGTGCTGTCTGTAGGTATATAAACTGACTGAATGTGTCCTCTCCAGGTCATTCGGACCTTGGACCCCAAGCAGAACCAAGGTTCAGGACCTGAAGTCCAGGCGCTAAAGAACCAGTTGCAGGAGAAGGAAAGGATGTTACACTCATTGGAGGTAATTAAAGGTTTGATAGTATATCAGATCCGGTTTAGCTAGATCACGGAGGATTAAAGTCTGGGGTGTCAGTGTTTGCTCAGCAGTGTAATCTAACTTTAAAAGTGGTCAAAGGCTTACTTTGTGGCTGTATGTGTCCTCTTAACAGAAGGAGATGGACAAGACAAAAGGCCAGAGAGATTATGAGGAGAAACTGATCGTGTCAGCCTGGTACAATATGGTAAGAAAAACCCACCAGAAATCCAGAGATCACATCCACCATTTCTTTTTTTTTATCCTCTAACACTGAAGGACAACTTTGAATTAAAAGCCATGAAAATAAGTATCATGCAAGTCGTAATCCATTAATTTGTGACATGAAACTACTTTAGTACTGCTGCATTAACTGTGTGGGTGAACAATGTGCATGTTTTTAGTCGGTAAATTGACATGAACCTGTTTTAAACCTTGAAACTTAACCTCTGTGAGTGTACCCATAACAGCTTCACCGTTATGTCACAAGGTACAGCCAACTCTTTTCCACTCAGCTCCCTTTTCTTCAGAGCCTTCAGTAAAACTGACGCCACAGAAGCACCAATGAAAGTCTTGTGCATCACGTTAGTTTGTAGTTCGTAGGAGTACATATCCCACTCATTAGTAAAATGGGCAGAAATAATCAGGCAGGACTCTGCAGAAGAGCCACTTAAGGTTAGAAGGACTTTATGGATCCCTGAAGGAACATTCAATTAGATCAAATTCAATTACTTGTAACCGATCTCAAGTTTTTGAGGAGAAACATTAGCAATCAAAATTGTAACATATATGGATTCACCTATACATTAAATAAAATTGTTCTTCACTTGAAAGACTTACCACCAAACCCTTTTTTATTCACTGAGGAATTTTGATTATTACTTCTTTTTTTTCTATTTAATTTGGTTCTATTTATTTTGAACCGTTTAACTCTGTTACATGAGAGACAAGACTATTCTTGCATCAGGGCATTTGACCACTAGAGGGCAGCATATGTGCACGTATACATTTTCTAAAAGCTTAATCTACAAGGTTACATCTGTAACATACTTGATCATATTTGCTGTGTAAGAATGAAACCGACCATTAAAATGTGTTATATATAAGATGACCTCTTTGTCTCTTTTCAGGGTATGTCTCTGCAGAAGAAAGCAGCTGAAGACAGACTCGCCAACACCGGTTCTGGTCAGTCCTTCCTCGCCCGACAGAGACAAGCCACCAGCACACGCCGCTCCTACCCCGGCCACGTCCAGCCAGCTACTGCCAGGTAGATGGCAGCAGGGCAGAAAAATAATACGACAACCTTAGAGATCCCCTGAACTTACTTACAGTAAACATGCTTTTTTTCTGAGGCCGTTTATTTCTATTGGACGTTCTTGTTTCCTTCCATTTTGCCTATTGATTTTCTGTTTTTCTTCTTGATCAGATCCATGAGGTAGAGATGCCGGGCAAGGCTGCCCAAATCTGACACCACTTTTTTTTTTTTTTTTTCCCTGACTAAACATATTTTACTCTGACTCTCTGGATGCCAGGCTTCTCTCCCATTTTTTTACAACCTGGCATATTTGACAGGGTCTGACCTCTCACTCCAAACAGCCCTCTTTTTTTCCTCTCAACCTCACCTGTACTCTGTGGCAGACTTTTACCACACAGGTTAACCTCGAGGCAGAGAAGAGTCACGTTTTCCCGAAAATTTGATGTAGAAGATTCAGTCAGCTTGTCCGTGCAGTAATTATGCACATCTCTACGTGTGACTGCATTCATTTTTTTTGACAGGACTTGACAAATTTTGTTGTCCTGTGTTGACTGTTTTAACTCCAAAAATGTAGCTTCAAGCTTGTTAGGGCGTTTTCATTTCTTCATGTCAGTGTTCCAGTTGTATTTCTTAATGCAGACACAATGTTCTTCTAACCATGTCATTACATTTGATCTTAAGATTCGGGTCAGTACTGAGCATTTACTACACCAAGACATAGGACAATGTATAGTTATCATCTGAAAATGTTTCGTTTGTAGTAGGGCTGGGCGATAAACTGAAAATTTACCAATACCAAAATTTACGACTATAACCGATGTCATTTTGCCCATATCGGTGTCAAAAAAATTATTAAATAAAAGTCATGTCCCTTTAAGACACTGTCTTAAAAGGGAAAGACAGGTGAGGAGATGGAGGACAGTTGAAAAGTTGTAGCGGCTGAAGTAGAAGAAGTTACGTGAGGGGAGGGCAGCTTGTGGAGTAGTTATCATCCATTTATTGTTATCAAGGTGAACTGCTCAATATATCGTAATATTGATTTGAGGCCGTATCGCCCAGCCCTAATTTGTCAAAAAAAAATCAGACCAAAACATATAACTGAGTAACTTTTCTCAACAATATTTTCCCCTGTGTAAAAAAAGGCACAGTGATTTCTTCAGCCAATGGTGCAAATCTTCAGCTGGGAAGATGATGTAAAATATCAGTATGTTCATTAGTCATGTAAGCTGGTTTATATCTTAAGGAGTCACAGTTCAGCAAAGTGGGACTGGCGTCCGTTCACATGATTTAAAATTTACCAGCATTACCAGGTTGTCTGAGACAACACCATATGTGCCATAGAGTGAGATTTCAAAGAAGATGCCAAGGTTTTGGTCAGTGTTCGCCGTAAAAGATAGTCGCTGAGGTTAAAAAGGGATCTGGTGTATGCATAGATCTTCCTTTAAGATGTTTGTCCGTGTTTTTGAAAGGAAGTTTGTAAAGGTGTGCTTGTTGCAGCTGTTCCTGTCATTTCTTTAACCCATTTTCACTTTTTTGTTTTGTTTACATCACGGTTACTCTGGAGGCACACCATGGATAATTTTTAACTAACATGACGGACCTGCAGACGCTTCTTTTTTTTTTATATTAACCGTATTTATTTGCTATGCCTGTTTGATCAGTGCCAGAATTCACACGATCAGACCTCACTGCCTGACCATATTCTTTCTTTCTCCTCCCTCAACAGCAATGTCAATGCATGACTGGCCCACCAATAAGCGGGCCTGGCCTGTCTCTGGCCTACGCTGGCACACGATGCATGAACTACCTGCCTGCCTGCCTACTGTTTGCATGACTTTGCATAATTGACTCAAGCCTGCGAATAACCAGCACAGCAGCAGGACCATGAGCACTAACAACCTTCTACAGTGTCATGCATTGTAACCCTAAAGATAAGCCCACGGAGGTGTAGGTTTGGGGAAATGAAACCCTTTTACCCTCTTTTCATTAAACTCTCTTTCACGTTCTCAGCTCTTCACCCCACATTATCTCCTCTTATTTCTTTACATCTATCATTCCCCCACTTTTTTTCCTTCCATCCCCACAACCTCAAACCTAATGGACGTGCCTGCTTGTGCCTCCTCACTGCATCAGGTCTGTAACAGTTTCATCTGTTTGTTACAACCTTCTGCGACAGGGCAGATCCCTTCAGCTAAGTCTGTCAAACAAGCAGTTAATACATCAATCGATAGGCCTTTTCTCCTGTATTTGTGTTAGACTATACATATACTGGCTGCTTTCAGATACCTCGACGTATGACGTATTATCACAAGTTTTATTTTTAATGACATGGGTTGGGGAGAGTTGGCATAAGTGTGAGTGAAATGTTTTTAAAAGGTGCACAGAAAAAGGAGTTAGCCCGACTTCGAAACCTCTAGGTGTCACGGTTCTGCTAAGCCTCTCCTCAACATGTTACCAAGTAGCATGTTACAAGTGGATTTACCTCAAGTGTTAGAGAGTTGGAGAAGTTTTGATCTAAAGGACAAGCTTACAGGGCATTACTGTGATGCTCCCTTTTCTTTTTGGATAGTTTTCAGTATCAACGGGATGTGCAGAAATTCAGTGTTTTCAAGTGAATAAAAGCTGTTTAAGGTTTGATTTTATACAGGGTAAAAACCCCCCTTAAGCCTACTTTGCGGTCTTTTAAAATGACTTAAATGCCAGTGTAGAGTCTTGCCCGGATGTCATATTTTCCAGTGTTTCATTGGCAAATTGTCTGCATTTTCATTAAAGTTAAATCATGTAAAAATACTTAGATTCGATAAGATGGCAGACTGGTAATCGTCTCAGATGGTATGAAACTGCATTAGCTTGTGTAAGGTAATGTGGATTACATCAGTTTGATTGAAACACCAACTACATTGAAATGTGGAAGACAAAAGTATTTAACAATGTCATAATTCTGCTGATCACAAATCAAATATTGGTCAGAAATATTTGATCAAGTCTTCACACCTGACAGGTCATAGTGGCTCCATATTGTATTCATTAGCAATACTGGGGAGAGCTCGGTGTCCATGGTTACGTTTCTAAAATAAGTCTTATTTAATGTTAACATCCCTGGTTATTTGCAGAGATTTAAAATCCTCCATTGTTTAGTGCCTTTGTTTTGAAACTGATGACAAGAGACTTGAATACCAGCTGTATTATAATACATGAAAAAAGGAAAGAGAAAGAGCTCTAGTGTCATCCACAAAACTCATATTTGATGAACAGATTCTCATGTTCAGTTACAGTAGGCTTGATGAGGGCTTTTTCACCTTTGTTTTCATTCATTTTATCCATAATTGTTCAAATGTATAACCCTATTTTAACTCATGCCATGCATTTTAATCTTAAAAGGCGTATTTATTCTGTTGCCGCTTGTACAGCAGTGTTGTTACAATTTTTTTGTTTGTTTGTTTGTTTGAGTTTTACTAGTATTATAACACCACTTGTACTGTTACAACTGATGTGTAGTTTCCTAATGACATCAAAATACTGTTAAATATTTGTCTTATGCAACAAAAGTAGGAAATGTCTCCTCCAATAAAAAGACACAAACTTTGTTATTTTAATCGTGTCAGCTGAGATGAGTAAGAACAAACATTGCAGGTGACATTTTCCTCCTAACTTTTCAGGAAGCTTCTTACAAAGTCACCATGCGTATGAACTTGTCATAAAAAGAGATTTTTGTATTTTCTTGTCGACAGAAAGCACACGCAACACTCATTCGATTGAATTGTAGGTGTCGTTTAATGACAGGATTAAAGACCGGAGAAAGTTGTGGGAGATAAACCACAAGAGAAACTGTATTATAATGAAGTCAACAAATCTGTGCGATTAATTCTGGACAAATTGGATTGTTCACCAGGGTGTCAAATTTATTTAAGTCATAGTATTAAAGCTACTTTAAAATTGTGCAATATTTAAATTCAATTGCAAACGTTACAGGTGACGTATTCCTTACTCTTTCCTGTCCAAGTAAAGTAAATCACCTGTCATTATATCCACAGATCTCTTTCGACCATCCGTCCCCATTAGTCAGTGATTTGGTAGGAAATCTGTATATAATGGGACACATTCACATTTCGGTTGACCTGTTAAAATCTATATCAGGGATGTTTGGAAAACATTGTTTTGATGTGTCATTTCTCCCTGAGAGAAGTATTTTGTCGTCTCCAACAAATCGCTCACTGTGATATGTTGCCAATATGCATCTGTGTGTTCACTTACTGTGATTGGCCACAGAAAATATTAATGAGCATTACAGTTTGCTAAACATGACACTGTAAGCTACAACCCAAAATACCCTCCTTATATTCATGTTTGAGAAGAAAATACTGGATAAGTATTACTGAAACTGTTACAAACAACTGGTCACATCAGTGTGTATCACTGACATGACTCAGCTAAAATGAATAACCAGTGTTCCCTATTGTTACTTTATTTCTAATTGCACTGTGGGCCAGTTAAAGTGTATTAAAAAAAAGATGCAAAACAACAACAGTAGGTCTGATCCATCTCTACGCTTGCAGTGTTTGCTGTATTTTTTTACTCATTGGCAAAACCTCTTTACATATTTGAAGTAGCAAATAACCTTCCATTTGCCAAGTTTTATATTGCTTGTATACAAACAGGTTATGTATATACTGTATGTGACAGTAGTAGAGGAGGTGCCAGGTTGTTTGAGAATGAGAAAATGAAACTTGTGTAGTTAGATTTCATATAGTACCTGTCCAACTGAGGACCTATCCATGAACATGTGCTTCCTACACTGCGAAACTTGGAAATTGTAAATAAAGCTTGTATAAAACAGGGCGATTGTGTGTTTTTTGTAATATGAACACCATGAAAAGTTCAGAAGATCTCTTGTACCCACAACCATCAGACTTATCAATTCTTCTGTAAATAGTAGATGACTTTTTGAGACATGACGAGTGAGACTAAAAACAATCGAATTTCCCTTCGGGGGAAAAAATAAAGTATTCTTTTTCTTATGTTAATTTGAATTGCTTTAAGGAATCACACACATTTATGGTTGGTTGATATGTTGGATTAAAATTTACATCCAAATTGGACAGAATTTATGAAGGATATTGTATATAATAATAATAGACACTTGTGCTTTGGGTTGTAACTGGATTAGATACTCTTAAAGGACACAACACTGAAGGAATATGGGAGTCATTGTAATTTAGACCCAGCAGAGGGCAGTGTAAAACAACCACACCTGTAGGTAGCTGAACATGTGTAATGCTGAAAGAGAAGAAAAGTGGACACAAATGGGAACACAGTAAGGAGTTCAGGACAGTAGCATGTAGTCCACAGGTGCATCAGTGTTTGAAACAGGTCATCACCATAAACTACAAACTCATTAATGCTCAATTTACGCCCCAAATCCAGGAATATTGACTGACAGCCATGAGACAAGTTGACTTAAACTTTAAAATGTTCAAAAGCCATCTATATCTATCTATCTATCTATCTATATATATTATAAACCCATTTAAACTTACAATTATAAACTACTACCTAATTTTTTTGCTGCATTTTTTCAGTAACATTTCAACTCTCAAGAAACTGTGCAGAAATGAGGCCAGGGAAAGTGAATGAGTAAACAACATAACAAGACAAGGAGACAGTGAGTCATGAATAGTATGAACAGGGTGGATGACAGAGAAGAAGCACTGACACAACTCTCCTGCTGCGGTCCAAAGAAAATGAAGACTCTCTCACTGCTATTTGAAATGAGTTCAGACCGACTCTTTGAGATAAAACAGAGAATCAGTAATAATGAGTCTGTTGATTTACACGATGCCAAATCAAAGTTATCCAAGGACAATTTCTAAATAGAGCAGGTACAAACTGCATTTTTAGGGTCATTTAGAGAGAGCGAGGTAAGATTAGGTGCTTGGTGACAGTAAGAAGATACTTTTGTGTAACAGGCAGAAACCTTGAACAGGATTCGACTTGTTGATGAGCAGCCATCAGCCATGACCACAAAAATAATGTGTATTTGATGCAAGGTTGAAATGGTAAAATATTGATCAGTAAAAAAAAACAACAACAAAATAACGTTATTAAAATAGTATTTTATTCTGGCAGTGATAACACATTTATTGAGTTAAGGTCCAAAATTTATGCAGTTTTATTGATTATTTTTGTTTTTTATAGCGTGCTGTTTTGTCCTTTTTGATAACCAAAGCAAAGTGCAGTGTTTTCCTACCACATGGGATGGAAATAATGACATTACTGCAAGAGAGAAACATTGAACATTTAATTCTTGGCAGCCCTGTCTGCGAAAAAGGGTGCAAAAATGACACAGAGCAACCATTCCACATCACACGGCTGCCCCTTCGAGAAAACTCTGTTGGGGTAAAAGCATTGTTTTCATTATAAAGAAAATAAGTTGTCTTTGCTCCCAGATGTTCTCTATCTGTTCTCGACTCTGGAGTTGTTACTGGATCATGCCAACAGAAAAATCAGAGCAAATCAGAGCTGTCATTTCTCTAATGAAAGGTCTGTTATTATTCCTTCATGACTTAGCATTTGGCCGTCAATATGGGCTTTATGACACTTTCAATTTCCATTTCAATCCCAGTGGTGGGGGGCAATTTCAGCAGCCTGATAACACAAGGCTCTCATTGATGCACACACACATACACACAAATCAGGTGGTGTTTCAGTGCTTTGGATGTGAGCCTGGAGGATACCTGACCTGAGAGTCTGACACGCACGCATGAACCGAGCCAACCTCCCCGCTTTTCCGTGATCAGTTTTGGCATGACTTCAATGAGACACAGGTGAGAAGTGCACAGGGTAAACTGAAACCTTGTGCCCAGCTTGCTGACACAGTCAGAGAGTAAAAAGGACAGAGCGGCTCTTTGGATTGTTTTGACCCCGACGAACATGTAAAACTGAGCAGAACTGGAGGGGAACTGTTTGAACTGACAGCAGTAGTGTGCACTTTAAGATTTTCATATTCCTGACAGTTCGTGGCCCCTTACTAGGTTTTTTTTATGTTTTGAAAAATCTTGTTTGGGGATAGGCTAGAGAGGTCACTAAAGGAGCATATCTGATTCTTTTCCACATATAACCTGCACTACAACAGCTACATGTGGTGCAACCCACATATAAAATTATATTCAAACCTAGTTTAAGTATTAATTATGACTGTGAATGGAGTCTACACTTCATCTTTATTTTAAAGGTTACGCCAGCTGAGATAGTTTCAGCATTAACATCAGTATAACTTACATCAGCAGCAGCTCTGAATAGGTGCAAAGCGATAACTCGGAAGAGGATGAGGAGAAGAGGGTGCGAGTGGCTGATTTGTGAAGGACGCATGTTCTTCCTCATATACACATCAGTTACTGAAGCAGAAAAGCTCTTCTCTGATTGGCTACTGTAGGTGTTAAGGTTATATGGTCTTATGCTGCGTTCCAGTTGTACTCCAAAGTCGGGATTTCCGAGCTCCGAGTTGGAAATTCACCTGGAACGTTCCAACTCGACAACGTCGTCACAATCCAAGATGGCAGCACAGTGCATCAACAGTAGAGAGTAACAGAGAAAGCTCTCGTAATGTATTATTTATTAGCGCTTCTGTTTTGTTTTTGTGAAATTAAATATGTGGTATATGTTGTACTACCCAACGTCTAACTGTGTACACGGTGCTATGGTGTTTGTAAGAGTAAAATACAGTGTTATGCATTGTTTACAACTGCTTCGCTGACAACTGTAAACAACTGTAAACAACAGCTAACAACGGCTAACAGTAGGCGCCCATCTTGGTTTTTCGACTTGTTAACTTGAACACCGTGAACTCAGGTGTAGCATCATTCCCAGCTCCGACATCCAACTTCCGAGGTAACTGAAACGCAGCATTATGGTCAACTAGTCTGCATGGGGCAACCAAACAAAGATACAGTGTGAACTTGGCGTCATTACTTCAAACACACCTTGAACATAGCGGCTCACACAGACCCCTGACATTTGCAGCTGGGTTCTGAGGATGGCTGTCAAAATCAATCAACTTTGATCGGCATGCTCAACTTACAAATTAACTTCATTACTAAGTCTTCCATTGATTTTTTTTTTTCTCCCAAAGCATTTTCCCCCTCAACTTTTGACTTTTAATGTCACTCTAATAACATATTTCTTTTTTTCCTCTCTCTGGTCGAGTGTTATGGCTGGTCAAGGTGATGAGGGACATCTATATTTTCATTTCCTTCATTTTTATTTGAACTGATTCGATGGCACATCAAAAATGCAAACAACTTCCAAAATATTCATGAGACACAAATGAAACGCCTGTGTGTTGACAGGTTTTACCACTTGGATAATATTTCTACAACTGTGGAGTGTTACACGGGCATCCCAGTGCGTATGCTGATCAGCTGTGTGCTGTGGAGACAGAAACTAACACGCCTGATGAAAGAATTCAGTCCCTTTTCCAGGCACAGTCCTGAAAATGCTCACTGACACGAAATGTACTACGAAGGGGCTTGGATGAAGTTTCTGTGGTTAAAATTCCACATTACCAGCATGGTACAATGAAGCAACAAACTCCCACAACAAATCACTGCAAAGGTCTTCAACTGAAAGTCGCTAAGGTCACTTTTATTTCATCTATCGCTTTAAATTGATAGTGTCTAAGTTGAAAGTTACCTGAAGATTTTTAACAAGTGCTTGTCTGAGTGTGCTAATGTATTTATAAATAACTGTTATATGACCTACTTGGTATTTCAAGGCAAGCAAAGCTCCAAAAATGTGCCTTTACCTTTGAATAAAATGCGGATTCATATGAAATTGGTTAACAAAATGCACTTTGATGATGTTTTAACTGTTCAATATTTGTATCAGACCGCAATAATACATCTGTCATGAGATAAGCAAGAAAATCAAGATAATGAGTAGAAAAACAAACAGTATGTGAATAAGACTTAATGGTCTTGTCACACATCATCCTGTTTATTACCTAGCAAGAAATCAAAGATACAGATATCTTGGCACTAGATATTGTTTTAGGAGGATTTTAATGATGTAAAAAAAAATACATATGTGTATACAGCCTAAAAAAATTAGCCCAGCTGTTAGGATTGATAGCATTTACATAGAAACTGTGTGACTGATGAAGGCAGTGGTGCTCTGTAACTACTGATAGGAAAACAAACTTAATGTTGACCTAAAATTTAACTCAACAGGTTAAAACGTCAATATCCGTCACCCCTACTGCTATATATCGTATTGACGCACAAATTCAATACACGGTGAAGTCAAAAAGAGGTACTTTGATTTTAAATTTAGATTAAAAATTCCTCTGCTTTGCTTTGAAAAAAAGGCAAGGTTGTTGGAATGTTTCTTTCCAAATAAAGCTGATGCCTTTTGTTTCTTATTTCTTTTTGGCTTTGGATTATTGCATGTAAGTTATTTTAACTAGGGGTAACAACATTTCCAGCCCTACATCCTTCAATGTTCATATTTAAATCCCACTTACTGTGGAGGAATTTCTTCTTTAAACAGGAGCAGATGTTCCTAAGGAGCATGATACCTGTATGATACATACACAGGTAAGTTATGCACAGTGATTGTTTTTTAAACTGTTATTTTAGCTTTTAATACTCATATATCCTGATAGATCATTTGTTTTTAACAGGCTACATAAATAGAAAACATGTGTTAGTCTAATTTGCCACATGCACAAGTCATCAGGTTCAGGTGCAGCAGATACTGTTAACATTTAAACTCTGCTTTTCAGGCACACACAGAAAATGCACTCAGGGGCAGAAAAACACCAGAGCAGAGAGATGAACGTTTGAGTGATCTCCACGCTGTTTGAGCCAGAGTGAGTCACATCAGGCGCCGTGACCACTAAATCAAAGAGCTGTTTGAACAGCTGCATTCCTTCACACTCCTTCATTCTCTCTCTCCCTCGCTGTGCAGTAATACTAATACTGCTTTTGCTACATGTCATCCCCATCCCCCCTCCTGACCATGTTCTGGTTAGATGGAGATCAAGCCTAATGGAAAAAGAGTGCAGAGGTGAGGTAAGGCATGGGCTAACAGACAGGTGTCTGTAGGAGGGAAGGTGTTAAGATGAGACCAGGGAAACTGTGAGGTTGATTTATTGACCCAGGACAGCCAGAGTGAGTCATTTTGTTGCTTCCATTACTCTTCACACATACAGCAGCCCTCCGCAGTCATGCTCTGCAGAGCCTGTAGTTGTCAGTGGCAATTACTCTGCAATTGTCAACAAAACCAGCCGTGAAGCATTTCATACCAGTTCATTAAAACTTTTACAAAGGTCATCGGCTGTTCTACATCTGTACCTGCTCACCGTCATAACTTCCTATCTTTCAAGACCAGCCCAAGGAAACTAACATTTTTACTTCAATGTTCACCAATTTTAGATACTTGCAAAAACTTATCATTGTTGTTGAATAACATTCAGGAAAGATGGCACAAAGGGGAATCGTACCTGTGGCTGACTGCGTATACAGATGTAACTATTTTTTCACAGTATCAACAGGCAACACAGGAATTTGGCGTCACTTTTGCTGTGGACGATTGATCAGAACCATACAGTATTTATTGCAGCCGGGTAATGAGTAAAAGATTCACATTATTTCCAACTTCTGTGTTTCCTTTGGCTCATTTCTATCTTAGGATCCTGAGGACA